CCCCTAGGCTTAGTACGTCAATATAATTCACCAAAACCATACTGCAGTCCTTCAATTATCATACAGGGAAATTTTCATCTTTCTAAACATCCCAACGAATGATTTGACAGGTTCTTCAAAATAAGAATACATGGAAAGAAGACTCACCATGACAGACAATTTTACCAAAGTATAATACCCAAAATGGGTTGAATAAAGTTACCTTACAACTGTAGTAGTTTGTCCAAATCACAAAATTAACCTTTAAACCTTTGATTGATTATTGGATACGCACTCACCCCTGACCCTTAGTAAAAGTAAATTCAACCTATAAAGTCTGACCGCGTCAACCTTGTTGCACTGGCTAGTCCTATTGAGTGTCGGCTTTATTTACCCAATGTCCGGGTTATACAGTACAAACTGGGACCAGAAATGTTGACCCGGCTCGGAATTTAAAATGACAGCTGCCCGTGTACGGACTAATTGATCTATAGATAACTATTGATAAAAAAATATTTTGAAGAAAAAAAATGTTGAAAAAAATGTCGATTTTTTTAGCCTATAACACCCCACGGCCACCCCTGAGTGTCCACAAAAAATTTCAGCCCAATCGGTCCAGCCGTTTGGCCGGCTATACGCAACATATATAAATATATAAATGTCTTGTTTTATCATATAGATAAAAATCTAATTTCTAGAAGTCGTAGGAAGTAAATATTTACATTCAAATAGTTGTAAACCACATTGGACACAGACTATTCTGGATTTTCGAACAGAAGTTGTGTTGAAGTCACAGTGTACGCTAGTGTACACTACAGTTTTTAGCAATTTAAACACAATCTCAGAGATAAACAAACAGAGTTCTCTGAAGTCGATGATCAGGTTTACAGATTACCGTTGTGTTGTGAATCTACAAAAGTTAAAAGCAAAATGACAAATTCTGTAAATTGTGCAAATAAAAACAAATAAAGATATCGTTAAATGACAATGACATGAGGACAAACATTGTTAATTACTTTGCATGAATCTTTCTACTTCAACCTGTATTGTAAAATTAATTAAAAACATTATTAAAAGTATTCTAATACACTTTACTTTTTATAAAAATATTGTGATCAAGGGTTTATCATATTCCATATTTTTTAGAAACGATTTTTTTATAGTTTTGAAAATAAAGTTACACTACTTTTTATAACATCTTGAATGACCCACTAACTTAAATTTTTTCTTCAATGTTATATAAGAGAGGTTTATTAACTACAGGGTGTCCCAATTAACAGGGATTATTAACTACAGGGTGTCCCAATAAACAGAGTTTATATCTACAAATGGGAATTCAAAGTTGACTTAAAAATTTTCTTTGATTTCCGATAGTTGAACTGACAAGGAGTGTATATTTGTACGTTTAATTTTCAAATCTTCAAATCTTCAAATTTTCTTTCTTTCAAATTTTAACATTGACAGAGATAATAAACAATTAGACATTTTTGATACTGTCAATTTCCGTCCATTTTGTAGATGCAAAAATGGAAAACTACATTTTTGAAATCCCGGTTTAGTTGTTAACTTTGATGCAACAAAGGCAATATGAAAGGAATCACTTAGATCCCTTGATAAACAAAAACTAGTCCTCGGGTCTTATTTTGTTAATGGAATTGAGTCTTTGCCACACACTCGGATTTTCTAATCCCTATATCATTGCAACCCACTGTCAAACTATGAATTCTGTTGGAATAAATAATCAACGTTTGAAATATTACAGAGTTTATAATATCTTGATTTTTTGGCAAAGACTTAAGTTAATTCCTTTCTTTGCGCAAAGAACCCGTCTAACTTTAACATTTTTCACCTTGGTTTCTAGTATTTAATACTTATACACATTCATATATGTGCATTCAAAGAAAGTTGTATTATCAAGATAAAGGATAAAACCTTGGACTAGTTTAGTCTGGTTTATACCACTCGACATTTTCCCTCTCTAACCCCTAGTTTATTCTGGTTCAGTCTCTAACCCCCCTCCCCACATCCCACTCATATTTCCTTCCCATCTCCAACCCCCCTCCCCCTCCAAAAAATTGCAGTATTTCTTTAAAAATATTGAATTGATTTCTTGCTACAAACTGAAAAGTTTTCTCGCCATAAACTGATGAGTAAATTTAGCTCTAAATCTAGCAGAATCCCTAGTTAAGAATATCTACCACCATAGTTTCAGTAGAAGTAAATATTTCCATTTACTGCTATAGCGCCGATATAGTTAAGAATATCTACCTCAACGGGTTGCAAAGATATATGGATAAAAAATTAGAGATTGTGGAGAGTTTTTATTTCGTTGAATATTGTTTGGAGCTAAATAAAACAATCTTATATATGTTAGATTCTACATGCCTTAAAAAAAGATAATGACATCACACACTTCTCTTCAACAAACTTGCCACAAACACTGATCTTCTAATCCCTATATCTTTGCGACCCAATGTCGTAGACCTTAGATATTTTTCAAACTTTGAATTCTGTTAGATCAAAGAATCTAAGTTTGAAATATTAAAGGTTTACACCAAAAGCCTTCAAAGATATAGGCATTAGAAAATTTGAGTTTGTGGCAAAGACTCAACTTTTTTAATTGAATTTAATTGAATTACTGAAAATAATTGGTGTGAAATATTGTTACAGTTTTCTTTAAAAAATATGTTTAAATTTTGAATTTATTGATAAATTATTGATAATTAAAAAAAGAATTGATAAAATAAAGCAATATTGTATCCGAATTTTGGCCGTTTTACATTTACTATATTTACAGGTATTGTCTTACAACTGCTTTATCGTAAAAGGCACAAGATGATTTGGTGAAAATGCTAAAATTAAAGCAATCGAATCCAAAGGCATGAAATAGAGGATGACACGTTCAATGCAGTTCTTAAAATTCAAATCATGTTTTTGATGAAAGTTACATCAAACTTGGTTAAATGTTTTTGTCTAGAACTTTAAAATTTAATCTACTTGGTATTTCCTAATTTTGTAATCACAGAAAGACCCACAAGACGGAGGAATAAGAAGACGACATTCAATCTTATGCTTATTTGATATTCTTAAAAAACAAATAGTTTATTATTAGCGTGAAAATCGTCTTATTGTTAACTGTTAAATATCATGACTTCCATTCCACAGTTTTTTGGGCCCACTGTCCACTGTTCATTATAATAATCTAAACAGAACTGGGAACTTTTGAATGGGATCCTTACTCCTGATCGGTTAGTTAATCTGGAGATTAATAACAAGAGGAGAACAAGTATTATTTAATCTGGAGATTAGAAAAAAGAGAAGACTGTTCTCGATATCCGCCATTCTAAAGTTTTCAGCTCAGGACTGATGAATTATGTAATTCTAGATAATACGACAATAATTTGAAACCCTAAGGTTTTGCTTTAAACAGGTGAGAAACCGTCTTATCTTAAAGAGCATTTTAAAGTTGAATTTTTACAAAAATTCGTTGAACAAAGTAATTTTTATCAATTGAAAACTATAACATTTAATAATGACTCTTGTTGACTTGACAACAATAATAGAAGATGAGTTTAGTTACTGAAAGTTAGAGACAAAAAGAGATTATTTTTAGTTAGATTATAGATGTAAAGAAAATGTGAAAATATTATTTTTCAGTTTTTTCTGTTTAATAAAAGTATTTCGATCTGATGGTTTTTAACATTGTTCTTAAAAATAGAAGTTACAACAAGTTAGATTGGGTTCTCTACGTCATGAAATTTAAAAAGACATCAACCTACTTTTTACTTCTGTACATTTCACAAATCTGCAATTAAGAGTTAGAAAGTCTTTATTTGTCTCTGGTTAGATTAATTTAAAATGTACACTTTGCACTCATCTCTTAATGATTTAGCGGATTTTGATCCAATCATTTGGTCATTTCCAATCTTGAAATTAATCAGGCGTGAAATTAAATGGAATCTAAGGAAGCTACACCGGGGGCCCCTTGCTCCAGGCAACTGGGCTTTCCAGAGCTTTCCAGTTTTTCAGAATAATCTCATATACAGGTGGTTCCAATAAAAATAGGAATTAAATGACGACTTATATGCCGAAAAGTACTAATCTCGGGATTTCCAAAATGTGGCCTACCTTTTTATCTTCAAACCTGCCAGAGATGTTAGAAGATACAAAAAGACAACTTTTTGGAAAGCTCATTAGGCAATTTCAATCTCTTTTTGATGCACTTCATGTCATTTAACTATTTTCGAAAATTAAAGACGATATTCAAGTCGTCTCTAAATTCCCATGTTTATTGGGACACCCTGTACCAAATCTGTGGTTTTGGGGTCTTGATGAATTATACTCTATACTATGTATTTATAAGTTTCTTTAGAATAATAATTCTATGGGAAATTAATACTTGCCTTTATTGTATATCTTTGCAATCTGATGCCGTAAACTTTTGATATTTTAAGATATGAATTCTGATAGATCTAGTATTCTATGTTTTAAATCTTTAAGGTTTACACCATCAGGTTGCAGCGACATTGGGAATAGAAAATTACAATTTTAGGAAAGTGTTCGTTCCTAAGAAATAAGATCATCCTGAAAGAAAAAACGGCCTGAAAGTTAATAAATCTATTTACGAATATGTTTGGCTTGTCTGTTTGTATCCTATAAACGTAAAAAAAAGGATGAACCGACCAGACCTGATTTTTTTTGTGGCAAATCAGATGACCCCAGGCCGGGAAGGCTTATGAATAAAGATTGTTTTCACCAACATCATTTCGATGTCTAAAATTTGTAAAATTCGGAAAAATGTTAGAAATTGGATTTTTCAAAGATAAATTTAAACATCTACAAAAACTAATCATCGCTAAAAACATAATTATTTTTGTCATAGGTAATAAAAAATTGTAAATAAATACACATTTTTTTTAAGAAATCAAATTTTTATCTAACAATTTCTTTCAAGATAATTTTCATCTATCTATCTATCTGTTTTCTGTATGAGCATGAGAAAGGTTTTTAGAGCATGATAAGATGGTTTGTGTGGGATAGAGAGTGTATAAATACTAGGATTGGTAGATTTCTCAGCTCAGTTCAACCCTGGCACTCAACATGGTCGGACCTTCTCATTTCAGGTTTATATTTAAATACTCACAGAGTCTTATTTCAAACCAAATTATAAATTTTACTGCAGCATTAATTATAACAGATATAAATAAAACAAAAGTACAATAAATATATGTAATACTTTTGCAGCAGGAGAACTTAGATTCGATAATCACGAGCAAACCTCTTTAGATATACTAGAATTATTTACTTTATGCTAAAATGTTTCTAATCCGCCAACCCTTTCTATCGTCCCTATATGAATAAGGCATAATACAGTCATAACAAAAAACTTGTAGAGTAGGAAGACGACATTAAAGCAATACTGGAGTACAATTAATGTTGTTACAAAGTAAATAGCTTTACTGGTAAGTTATTAAATTACTTATTAAGTAATATGGGCCTGTTTACGCTGCACAATTGCTGTGTCTCATGACTTCAATCTAAAAGTCGACTTCCTGTCCCAAAGTTTTCTGGTTCTCACTGTATTATATATTCTAGTGTTGCCTGCATTCTATTGGCTGGATTGGCTAGCTCTAGATTTTGCCCCAGGGAGTCCAGGGATGGATTTGAATGCAGAGCTTCAAAGTAAGATATTCAGTTATTCAGTAACATATTCTCTTTTCCATATGTAAAACTAAAGAAAACCAACTTTTTTGCCAAAAAAAAAAAAAAACTTACAATCACTTCTTCAAAATTTCTTCCACCCTTTCAGAATCCTTAGTTGCGCCAAACGTTTTATCTCCTGTTCATGGTAAACGTTTTATATCCTGTTCATGGCATACGTTTTATATCCTGTTCATGGCAAACGTTTTGTATCCTATGATTTATATAACATATTCTCTTTTCCAAAAAATCAACCTTTTTTTGCCAAATTTTTATCAACAAATCTAAAACTTCCAATTGATTGCTCAAAATGGCCTCCCCTTCAACGTTTTCTATCCTTTCCATGACGAAAAAAGTTATATGTTCGCATGTATTGTAAAAATATTTTTTCATTATTTTACATTTTTGTTAATATTTAGAGAACCTGCTCAGTTCAAATGTGGAATTTTTTACAACAATCTTCTAGGGGATAATGTAAGTATAAAAAATAAAAATATTAAATTCTAATTCTAAGTTTTCAATAAGTTTTTCTGTACTAAAGGAACATTTTACTCTATAATTCTACTCACCCTCCATTTGTGTTGTGGCATGTCCGATTGATAACATGTAACTTTAAAGCTTTTTCTGGTCAAAACTCAATATCAATGTTTTTCTCCAAAATGTGACTTGAAAACCAAACCAAAAGTGAAGATTGGTTTAGCTCATTGTTTTTGGTTTATGTTAAAGGAAATTAAATGAAAAACTCTTAAAATTACATTCTTGGAAAGACGACATTTGAAAACTTACAGTGAAACCATCAAAACATGAAAAGTTTTTTATGTCATCTTATGGAATAGAGGTTTAAAGGGTAACGTTGTGAATCGGGCTCGCCACTCTACAAAATGAGGGTTACTTGCATCGGGAATCACAGCATTTTTAACTTCCTACTTTCCAAGCTCTTTCTTAATATTTTTTTCGAATTTTCATTGAAGAAATTGAGACTTTCCAACAAACTCTGATTTTCTAATCCTTATATCTTTTCAATAAAATGTCACAGACCTTAGATATTTTAAACTATGAATTATGCTGGATCATATGAATTAAGTTTTATATATCACAGGTTTACACCATCAAGTTTTAAAGCTATTGGGATTAGTAAATCTGTGTTTGTGGCAAAGACTCAATTCCTTTCATTTATAAATTTTTATCAAGGAAATTAAATGGATTGGAGCAATGCCTGATGCTATTGAAACAGTGAGAAGGAAGGACCCTAATCTTATCAATGAGGTCTTCCCTAAGGATGAGCAGGGTAATGCTGTTTCTGAACCATACTTCCTGTACAAGGAGAGGTCATGTGACCAGCAGGATGCAAACAGCAAATGTTATCTTTTGGTGAGTTATATTCATTTAAAATTCTTTAGTATAATTTTTTTTTCCTGCTAATGGAACATTAAAGTTTATCCCTTCTGTACTAGTAAAACAAAAAATATTGTTTTCTTGCATTTTATTAATTTTTCACTTCAAAATCTCAATATTCAACTTAATCTTTGTTTTTTATTTCAATAAATAATGTTATCACATGGACCAGAATTTTAATTATGTAATGATACCAGAATATTGATCGTAATGTGCAATTATACCAGATGGACCAGAATATTACTATAACTAATTATACCAGAATATTGATTGTAAAATTATACCAGATGGACCAGAATATTAATATAACTAATTATACCAGAATATTGATATGTAATTATTCCAGATGGACCAGAATATTAATATAATTAATTATACCAGAATATTGATCGTGTTGTGTAATTATACCAGATGGACCAGAATATTAATATAACTAATTATACCAGAATATTGATTGTATAATTATGCCAGATGGACCAGAATATTAATACAACTAATTATACCAGAATATTGATAATGTAATTATTCCAGATGGACCAGAATATTAACATGATTAATTATACCAGAATATTGATAATGTAATTATATCAGATGGACCAGAATATTAATATAACTAATTATACCAGAATATTGATTGTATAATTATACCAGATGGACCAGAATATTAATATAACTAATTATACCAGAATATTGATTGTATAATTATACCAGATGGACCAGAATATTAATATAACTAATTATACCAGAATATTGATAATGTAATTATACCAAATGGACCAGAATATTAATATAGCTAATTATACCAGAATATTGATTGTATAATTATACCAGATGGACCAGAATATTAATATAACTAATTATACCAGAATATTGATAATGTTATTATACCAGATGGACCAGATTAAGCAGAACAAGTTGGACAGCTGTCAGAAAACAATTGGAAATCTTGAAGGACTTGATACTATTGGAAACCAACTGTGTGACCAGGTATACTTTTTATAATTGTCAAAACTATAGCATAACCTTTTTTTGTGAATATTTATATACTGGAAGGTAAAAATTCTCTAGAATTTGAACGTGAAAATGCAATTAAAAAGAAGTCATTACGCTAAACATCTTAAAAAGAAATTATTCAAGCTTAAAATTCCAATTGAAGCATTATAAAATTTCATTGAGAAAAGAACCAAATTACTTCAGAAAAGCAAAACAAAAAGTTTGTTGTAAGAAATTTTCTTATATTTTGGAGTCATTTTATTTAACAACACAATTGGAGCTGTAAAGTCTTTAAAGCATTATGTTTAATGTTTTCAAATTCAGGCATTGAGGTTTAAAAAAGCCGATGGACAAGATGTTTCTCAAGGACTAGAAAACCAGATTCTTACCTTCTACTATTCTTACTGTAACTCCACCTGGACTCCTGTAGAATCCACTTCAGTAAGTTAATGTCCTCTCTGAACTGTGTAAAGTGTAAACTGTACACTTTAATATAAAATTGCGGCATTACTTGCAACCAAACCAAACCAAATTACTCAGAAAAATTTAGGTTATTAGTCTTTCCAATAATGGTTATTTTAACTTTACCATATTTAATTTTCATTAGTTAATTGGCGTCCAAGATTTAATTAAAACAATGTTTTTTTGGACAAATAAACTATTTTTGCTTTCCATATTTTAAAGTGCATTATTATTGCACAACCAGACAATGTTTTAGAGAATTAATTTTAGTTTTATCAAAGACGACATTTGATTTAATTTTTAATTATAGTCTGGAATCCTGAACCTGTCAGAGCCTCTTTGCTGCTCTGCTGATGGAAAGTTCAGAAGGTAGAATTTATTAAAATTTATTGATTAAATTTTGAAACTCGCCACTAACTCTAACTTTCTAATTCTTACATCTTTGCAACCTGTTGTGTGTAAACTTTTAATATTTCAAACTATTTGATCGAACAGAATTTATAGTTTAAAAAAAAAACATTTTAAACTTAAATATAAAAATTTACGGGAATTTTTCTGAAATTATTTGTATAATTTTGAATGTTTAGTTTTTCGAGACTAAAATTAAATCTAACCAATCAAATTAACAAAAATTGTTTACAACGTTTTTAGGTGTGACGGCTCTGACTTCCGTCGTGAGTGCTGAACAAAAACCAAAAATATTGCAGTGTGGACTTTCATCAACACGCGCACCACATACTACATAGATATTTTGATAAAAATGTAATCTTAAGTTTTATATTAGGATTTATTAACTGATGCAATTGTGAAATTTAAATAAATATTCAGTAAAAAAAGATTTTAATATTATTTTTTTCCATCATTTGCAGGTTACATTTATTTTGAGGTTTTCCGTGGTAAACACTGATAAACATAAAAATGTTAATTTAGAAGACGACATTTTAACAATTTCAAATATCGAGCAATGCGCGGAACTGTGCAGAATGCCTCGAAACTTCATTTCGTATTTTCAGTATGTTCCATTAGACATAACAATACACTAAAGATGACTTTTGATTTCAATTTTTTAATTTCTACCATTCTTTAAACACATAAACATATGGAAACTTAAAGAGAAGCTATCAATTAACAGCTTTAACTAGTTTACTAGTAACAATTGTAATTTGAATAAAGCTTGTTAAAATCAAAGCTTAAATAGAAAAGTCGTCTTCAATGTATTGATATAAACGCCGACCACAATAGTAAAGGTCGTCTTCTTTATATATATAATAAGCTGTTTGATATCAAAACCAACCTTTTATGAGTAAACAAATGTCTTAATATTACTAAATAAGTTTTTGTTTTACATAATGGAAGGCCATCAACTTAAAGGTGATTGAATTTAAAAAATGTGTTTTCTCAAAAATGCAGAAAAAAAAATTGCAAAACAATTATTTCCTGCGAATTTCTCTACGCAATTATGGCGCTGTTTTGCACAATGCACAAGCGTAAGAGTAAAAGCAATTGTGCATTGTTTAAAATATCAAAACTTTAAGTGACCTGCCCTTCCCAATTGAAAATGGTACTCTTGAAACCTTAATTTAATCATTATGAAAGATAGCGTCATATTTCTACAGGGTGTCCCAATAAACATGGGAATTCAGTGACGAATTCGATATCTTCTATTCAAAAAATTCTTTGATTTAGTGTGGTGATACCTACTGAGAAAGCTGTAATCTGTAAGAGTTTCGTCTACTATGTTCACATTTTGTTTGTTTATGTTTTAACTGCATACGGTTGTACTTAGTAAACAAGAAAATTGCAGTATACAAACAGAGTAAACTTGTCCGTCCTCACTGTTCATCTTGCGGAGACATTATAGACACATCTTTGTAGTCTTTTACCCTTTTCATAAAATAAACTCTAGCAGACATAATAATATTATGGCTTTTGAAATTAGGTATTACAATGCTAATTCAGAACAAACACGATATCGAATTCGTCACTGAATTCCCATGTTTTTTGGGACACCCTGTAGCTTGCACGACAAGCTTTGTTTACATTGTGTAGTTATTCGCAAGGTATTTTTTTAGATATATCACAAATAAAAATTATCAGTTTTCTATCTTTATTTTATTTAAGTGTACAAATACTTCTGAGGTTTAAAAGCGCAATTCGTGGAGATTTTTTTAGAACAAAATAATAAAGTTCATAATTTTATGGGAATAGTGATATTTAACCCAAGATACTGTATTTTTGAGCAATTCTGATAAATATTCATCGGGGGTTTCCGACAGAAATAAAAATAAACAATAAATTGGACTAAATAAACATAAAACATAAAACATAGGAAATGAGAAAGGAGCGTTTGCATTTTTGAAAAAGCTAGGAACTGTCCTACATCCTTTAGGTTCAAACGAACTAAAAAGGAGATAGGTCTGCAGCTAGGAACGGTCCTACATCCTTTAGGTTCAAACGAACTAAAAAGGATATAGGTCTGCAGCTAGGAACGGTCCTACATCCTTTAGGTTCAAACGAACTAAAAAGGAGACATTTCTGCAGCTTGGAACGGTCCTATATCCTTTAGGTTCAAACGAACTAAAAAGTCGAGATAGGTCTGCAACTAAGAACGGTCCTACATCCATTAGATTCAAACGAACTAAAAAGGAGATAGGCAGCAAAATCCTGTTGCATGGATCTAGAAGGGAGGTTAAGGAATGTTCCCAAGTTGTCTGAGGAACGGTCCTATATCCATGGAACTAGAAGGGATTTAAGAGAATGGTCCCAAGTTGTCTGAGGAACGGTTCTATATCCTGTTCCATGGAACCAGAAGGGATGTAAGAGAATGTTCCCATGTTGTCTGAGGGAACGGAGTTTCTTTAAACCAATCTCCTGTTTCTAAATCATAAACATCTACTCCACTAGTCCCCCTATCCAGCATATCCTGGTCTGTGAACCCGCCGATTATATAAATCTTACCGCCGACCGTCGTTACACCTGAAATACACGTTCATATAACTGGGCGATAAAAGTATTTATGGCATGATTTTTCTCAAGACGAACGTGGATTTAACGGTTCTGTCAATATATCAGAAAGCTTTGGTTTTCGATCACAATTTGAACCATTATAAATAATGTTTCATCCTTTTTTCCTTAAATACTTTTTTGTTGGCATATACATTTTGAATAAAAAGTATAAAATAAACAAATCCGTAAATTTAAAGATTGTTGAATTATAGACCAAAACACGTTTGATTTCAAATAAATGAAACCGAATGGTTAGTCCGGGGTGAACGGTAACCCTAGGAATCTTTATCTCATCAATACTGTGGAAGATATCGTCGTTTTTAAAGTTTAACAAATTTCAACCCGTCGTTTTAGGAGCAACAATGCACACGCCAATTGAAAGTGAAACCACAATTAGAAATTGATGTCAAGGTTCTTTTAGATTTTGACTAGATGTATGAAAAGGCTGTGAAAAGCCCAAAAACATTCCCAATAAAATGGAAAGAAAAATAATAAAAGATTTCCAAAAATAACTTTTTTTCTGAAATAACCTGCATTGTATCTCGGAGAGGGTAAAACTGTTTCAACACTCCAGGTATCACTAGCCAAGTTGTACCTGGAACATCAATCAATCAATCAATAAATCAATAAATTATTTTATCCATTAATCAACTAATTAACTAACTAATTATTTAAAAAAAATACCAAAACCAGAAATGATTTAATAATCAATTTTACAATTTGATAAATTATGAAGATGTTAAAATCTCTAATACTTTGATTAAAAAAAACATTCAACATAAATTAACATTAAATAAATATATTTCATTTTATAAAAATGTATAAAAATGATAAATAAGGGAAAAATATGTTTATGAAAAAAGTATAAAGAAAATATAATCTAAAATATAAATGATATAAATAGGTTTTTTTTCAATCAAGATTAATGATTGAGATGAAAGTTCAAATTTTCAAAATCAACAAATAATTAGATAATTTATAAAAAGAATATTTACTTATTTATTTCTGGAATGAGTTCTCTACCCTGTATACCGTCTCTCCAACCTCCCACCAGATAAATCATGTCCTAAATCAAAAAATCAGTTTTTTTTCTGTTTTTATCAAAGATTGTCCGACAAACGTATATGTTACTGTAAGGTTTAGACAGAGTGCTGTGTTATCAAGGAACGAAATTTAGCTATATCTATTTAAAAAGTTTTAAAAATTTGTTCCTGCACATTTTTTAAAACTAAGTGGACCCCTTCAATTATTTAACACTTTTATTGTTTCGACCTAATGTTATACAACTTTGATATTACAAAATCAAAATGTCAAAGTTTAAATTTGCAAAAATGCAGAGATAAGAAGAAATGAGTTTGAAGTGAATGTTCAGTATATTTAGACGTAGTTAGGTACAAACAAACTGAACAGTGATATCCATAAATCTGTGGAATAGGAAGACGAAATGTATGCCATATTATGTGTATTTGATATTATAATATAATAGAGGAAGTGGTTGATTTCAAATCAACATATTGAGTAAAATGTGTACAGTTTACAATGTACAATGCACAATTTACGTGTTTCATGTTCATTGGACTTTCTACAAATTCAACAGTCGTCTTAAAAAAAACTAAAAAGAACAAAAAAATAATTTGCGGCATTCGCGAAGAAGTAACCCTGTTGTAAAGTATTGAAAGTGTTCCAGAGCCCAAAATCTAAAAGAGTATCGTTTAACTAAGCTCCCGAGTGTCCTTTTTGTTGTCTAAACATTTGTTTAGATTTTGATTTAAGAGATTTGAAAAATATGGAGAATATGAAGAAGCTAAAAAAAACAATGTTCTGAATAAAAATATTGATATCCACAAAATTGTCTAACCCCATTCGTGAAACCCGGGTTTCAAAACTGGTTTTCAAAACGATACCCTGTCAGTTTTGGGCTCTGGTATACAATTGTTATTATTATTATTATTATTATTGATATTATTAGTATTATTATTGTTATTAAGATTATCATTATTATTATTATTATTATTATTATTATCATTATTAACAGTATTGTATTAGTATTATTTACCTAGAAGACATGACAGTACAGTTTCTTGATCTAATCCTCCACTTATGTACACTCTCTCCTGTACACGTACTGCTGCATGCTGAGATCTGCTTCCACCTGAAAAAAGAATTTCTCAAACTTTATTTATTTTTATTTTAACAAGGTTTTAATATTGGATGATGCATAGATAAAAATTGGAATTTTTTAGACATAATACAGCCAATCACACATATATATAAGAATTTATGTAATTTGTAAAATTTTATTCTTATAAAAAATAAAGTATTTCAACATATTTTTATGAGATTAAATTTAGATAATGTTAAGAAGAAGTTTTATTTAAAACAATTTTCAGACTTTTAAGATTAAATCAATTATTGGTTCACTTTTTTGCTTCTGAACTATTGTTTGAACACGTATTTTTTGGATAATTTAAACACACTTTTTTTGGTTTGTTTTACTAAGTGGGTGTCCAAAATTCAGAAATTCTACAGACGTCGTCTTCATTGTATTGATATAAACGCCGACCAGTGTAGGTAAATTATTATTGACAGAAAAGATAAGATTAATAGATAAGAGAAGAGTTGAAAAAGAATATTTTTTTATGAACAGGGTGTCCTTTATATGACCTGGTAGCCCGGGACAGGGTGTCCAAAGATCTGTATTAGGATCGTAGCTCTCCACCGTACAATCATCCTCCCCGACCTCGGCGCAGCCTCCAATTGCGTAAAGACGACCTCCACATTCCGTCAAGCTAAACCTGCATCTCTCCCTGCATTTATTTCATTTATTCATTCAACTAATCCACTGTCAATCAAATGTTGCAAGCTCTAACTCTAAATACAATGAGGATTTTGCAAATAACATCCTAAAAAATAACGCTAAAAACAAGTAGACTCTGACACTAAGAAGTTTGTAATTCCTTATCTATAATAACTTAGACAAACTTTGAAAAAAGAGCTTTTGTGTTAATTCCTCTTTAATATTCCTCTTCTCTTGGCTTCTTCTTCAATTTTCAAACCTTTCGTGGATAACTTTAATAGAGGGAGCAAGCATTAAAAGTGCTCACATTGGATATCGAGATCAAGCGTTAAGGTTATCAATACTCCACACAATTTTCATTCTAGTTTGATTAGTTATCGTTCTTAATTCAGCAATGTAACAATTTTATTCTTTTTTAGCTGTATCAATTCACACATTCTTAAAATTGATTCAGTCCAGATAATTACAGATTAAAGAAATAATAAAGTTTACAGGGTTACTAATTTGAATTAACCTGTTCATAGCTGCTATAGTTGTCCATTTATCTAGTCTGGCGCAGTACCGGAAACCAAAGGGATGAATATTCTCCTAAAATCAAGATTTGAGATTTAGCGGATTTTTAAAAAATTAGGGACAGAAAGACGACATTTATTATATTGTAAAGGGTTGCCAACAAAGGATGAGACTGTAAAGACGATCTGAAACTCTTTAAATCTGAAAGGTTCCAAGGTTAAATTAAGTTTTCAGCCATATATATAATCTTTTTATAACTTATATAATGATTAAGAAAATAAAGAAACAAGTTTACAGTTACAGGGAATCATTAATATAAGAAACATATAGTTTAAATCCTGTGCAGTCTTCTCTGAAGTCTCATCCTTTGTGGGTAACCCTGTAGCACATAATTTTAGTAGTAGCTTGAAAACACATTAAGTTTTTCGCATGGGTGGTATTTATCTTTTACAAAATTGAGTACAAAAGCGTATTTGTAAATTGTAAACTCCCCTTTCTTCATAAAAGTTAAAATAAATATTTTCTTTTTAGGTTTGGGGGGGGGGGGGAGGAGAAATGGGGATAGAACCTGTATACATTGTTAAGTGTAAAAGGCTCAGCAAAACATGTTTCTGGCTTTAGTGAAGACGACATTTTAAAGAAGACGACTTTCTAAAGAAGACGACAGTTACCTGTAACTCTTGGTTAAAGCATCCTCCCACAATATACAGCTGATTATGTAGCACGGAGCACCCGAAATTACAGGACTCTATGTGAGGTATTGTGGTAAGGGGGTTCCAGGAACCTTCTCTACCCCCCTCACAGTGGTAGTAGCTAAATAATTCAAAATTAGAATTCGAAATAAAATCATATTAATTTCAATTTCTTTTTCTTTACACCCTTGTTTACCAAAACCGATGTAAATCTAAAAATCTAGTTATAATTTGCTTCTTGGCTTTTATTTTCAATTCTAAGCAAAAATTGTTAATCCAAATGTTTCTGTTTAACATTCTTTAATTTTAAAATTTATGATCAAAAATATAAATTAGAAATATTTTGTAAAATTTTATTCAAGACTTTGTTAAAAATATGTAACGACAGGGGTAAATATTAACTTGTAAATCATATAATATCTTAAAAAATCGTAGTACTGTATTCATACTACTAAAAGCTCAAACCCCTAGAATGTTAGAACAAGAACACAAGATGAAAATAGTAAACAATATATGTATAGTTAATATTGAAAATTACTTACAACTATACTTTACACTTCACAGGGAAGTTAAGGGAATTTTACCTCACCAAGGGTTGCAAAACAGCCAGCGCGTAGCGAGGTATTTTTTGCAAGTTTAATTTTTTAATTTCCAGAAAAGTGTTCACAATTTTATCGAAAATGTGAAAATGCGCAAATTTTTTCCAAAACTCGCAGAGTGGGAGGTTATTTTACTTAAAGGAACGTTAAGTAAATGAATAATGGTTGGGATGGGTCGAATATGTTGATCAAAAGGCGGTAAAACAGTTGAACTGTACCTGATCTGGTTTGTTATTCCGGCAGGACCAAACCCTCCAACTTTAACTAAAATTAATTTAAAATCAGACAAGGATGGACTAACCACGGGATGACGAGTACGGTTTCTTAAAGGGTGTGACCGGCAATTTCGATTCAATTCAATTCTTCAATTCTGGTTTTATAGTTCAGCAGTTTTCTAAGTTCTGGAGTTTTTTCTTTTTTTCCAATTTAAACGTATCTATCGACGAAAAAGTTTAACTGCAGAGAAAGTGAAAAAATTATGTTTAATAGGTAAGATAGTAAGGACCTACAGAGCGTCCCATATCATATTAGATTATCTCCAAGCTTTAAGGCCAAAATACACACATAATACTCGAAAAACCTAGTATTTTCTGCAAGAAAACTTTTATAAAAAACCTTCAACGTTTTTTAAAAATGATTTATTGTTTTAAAATTTTCTGATTAGTCCCTAAAATCGCAATTTTGAGCTATACTCGATCTAATATGATGTGGGTCACCCTGTATATACAGGAACGCCCAACTCAGATATACGCAAATTGTGTACTGTACACTGTGGGAGGAATGTAAACAAACCCAGTGCCCCCACAGAAGTTGAAGGTAAAGGACTAAAGCTCTGATGTGATATTACAGTCCAACAAAAAACAAGTTAATATATCAAGTTAAAGCGAATACTTATGATTTTTGGCTTTCTGGTCAATATGGAAAATACAATAGCAATATATTTTCATTCCAACCCTTGGGCCCTGTTCCCTCAAAAATGATTCTGAATTCTTTGTTTTGATCTCCTCCCACTGCAGTACACAGATTTGACGCATGAGATATGGCGGTTCCTGGTCTATATATTTCTTGTAAAATAGGGATTATAAATTACAGCTAAGCCAAATACCACAAACAGTTAATTCAGGATGTTGGGACAAGCAAATAGATTCTAGTAACGTAGATTTTGTACACTCTCAGTACAGCTGTATTCTTTCGTTACAAGAGTCAACTCAGTATTGTGTCCGACAAATTATTAATAATAGTGATAATTTTAGAATAAAGTGCTTTTCTTACTGTAAAATAAGTGCAATTTTGTTGTTCTTTATTTTCTTTTCTTTTTAATCTTGGAAAGCATGTCAACTAATGTGAGAAAATTTGGTTATCATTATTATATTTGACACTTTTGACGTCGAGTATAATTGATCCAATTCTCTGTTGCCATCTATTGTACTTGATAATCTATTTGGGGACAAGGGACAATTGTAACCACTTTTAGAAAGTTGCTGTAAATGAACCACATCAATTCAAAACTGGGAAAAGAAAATATCATCTCTAATCGCCATCAAAAAAGATAAACAATTAATCAACCACATAAACTTTGTTCCAAAAATGGCATTTATAGTTTTAATTTTGAGAGAATTTTTATCCCAAATTTTTACACACAATTTAATAATCTTGGGTATAAAAAGTTACTTATTTGTTCCGAGGCAAATAAGTAACATTTTATACCGGCAAAGATGGTTTCCCTTTTTATTTCGCGGATTTTAATAAAAATAATATCACATTTTTATGAAACTTGAATTAAATAAATTTATATATCCAACTGTCTTATCATTTTGGAAATTATGTTTTTGTTATAATTTTAACTTTTTTGTTTTCAAACAAACGAAAAAAGTAAAAATCCTGGCCAAAAAACACGATAACACAAGACAGTTGCATAAATAGATAAATTGCTTTTGAATAAAAAAGAATTTTAACTTTAATTTGTAATTCGTATGTCTATTTCTTTATATAATATAGAAAAGTTTTAAATAATGACGGCTTGGGTAAAAGTTTCAGATTTTCTAGAAAGAGAAAGGGGATATTACCGTGAAACAGAAATATTCAGATTGGTTTCCAGCTTATTTGTCCGTGACAGTTATATTTTAATTATTTGATTCATCATTGCTTGACTGGGTTTTGTATATAATTTTGTTCTAAATTTGTAATATTCCGTTAATGACGAGTTGTTTAACTGATATTTCACATGGTTCATGTTTTAAATACGCATCACGATAACAAAAGATCAACTGTAGCAGTCTTGGAATAAAATTAATTTATTCCAAATAGTACAATAGATGGCAACGTAAGATTTGTACAGCTGAATTCTGACGTCATAACTGACAACTTAGTTTTTTGTGTCCGACAAAACTATCAATAATTAATAGAGATAATTTTATGTTTTTTGTTGGTATTAGTGCTGGCTTGTTTTTTTGCAATCCAATAAACGTCAAAACGACTAAACACTTTAACCATTTTTTTACTCCAAAAAAAGTTTGAAATTTGTCTTATTTTAAAACTTATAAACATAGAGAATAGAATATATATTAGAGAGGAATTAAAAGAATCTCTCGGTATGAATTTTTTCAGTCCCTTTCAGCCTGAAAGGGAGTTCAAAGTGTACAAATCATTTAAATGTTCACAAATGATATGCAGTAGAGTACATTAATACAGCATGTTCCCTAGACTATTCATTTCAATTTCGAATTTTTTAAACGGTTAAATAAACTTTATAATGAATTAGGTGAAAAAAACATCATTTGATTTAAAGTTTTAACGGAAAATCATCGTTTGTAAAGTGGAAGGCAAAGAGTCTATGTGAAATGATCATTGGTCAATTATGAAACCAGCCTATTTGATAATTTGGTTTTCTTTTAACAATAATTTTAGATTTTCTATAAAATGATATTCCAGGGCCCAACAGGTTATATAGCATAAATATGTGAAGTACACCTGCAGTATGGAAACAGTACAACAAAATGGCTGTTTTACACTTTTTTCTAGTAAATTTCTCTCTCTATATTCTATTCTCTATGGTTATAAAGCAGAATATTGTCATTATTATAAAATGTACGAAAAATGCTTTAAGAGAAATTTGAAATACAAAGGTAACATTAACGGTAAAAGATTGCGTTAAGTGCATGATCTATGTGGCCTAATTTAAAGAATTTGAACCGAGATTGGTTTCACTTGAAATTATAATCAGTGTTTCGAGATTTGATCTGGCGCTCAATGGGAACCAGTTTTTGGCGGTTCACCGAAGCGGTTCAAATTCTTTAAATTTGGCCTCTGTAAGCCTTAATAAAGTGTGTAAGTGCACGTGTTTGTTTATAAGTTTACTATCTTCAATAAATGGATGTTTACCAAACTAAACTGTTTGTTCGGAAACTCTACACTAAGGAGAGTGTTCTAACAATTATTAAATGTTTGGGTGTCTTCAGTAAATGTTCTCACAATTATTAAATGTTTGGGTGTCTTCAGTAAATGTTCTCACAATTATTAAATGTTAAGGTGTCTTCAGTAAGCGTTATCAGAATTATTAAATGTTTGGGTGCCTTCAGAAAGTGTTTTCACAATTATTAAATGTTTGGGTGTCTTCAGTAAGTGTTCTAACAATTATCAAATTATCTCACCTAAAGCCATTTTCATTCCTCTGGCGTTTAATATTTTAAAAGTATCACTTTGTCGCACTGGACTCAATCTTTCCAAAGTTCGAAGTCTAAAATAGAAATGTTTAAAGGGACTGTAGACGTAATTTTAGAAGTTGCTGAGGTACCTCTGCACTTTTACTTGTTTAACAAGATATATATATATATATCTATATCTATATCTATATATATATATAAATGTGCTACCTTAAAAGGAGACAAATTCTTTTGACCTCCTTCTTTGTCTCATTTACAGAGAAACCGCCATTGAAACTGATCCATTTCCAGATGGAAAAACTGAAGATATCTCCGTCAAAGGATCAACAATTAACAAAAGTGAAAGAAAGAACATTAAAAAGTACAAAGACAGAACCTTTGAATTGGAAAAATTCAATTTTTAATACAGTCATAATCAGAAAGACCCATAATTAAAACACAGTTAATTATCTCCGGCAATTTTGAATGCTCGAAAAAGGCAGACCACAATTTAGAAATAGCAGGACTAAAGCTATTAGATTGTAAAGTCGTCCGATTAATTGTAAATTGATTCCAGATCTATCAAATTAGGACTGTAGTCTTAAAGTATATGTACTAGACCTATCTCTGATGGAGCGAAGGCCTGGTCTATCCACAACACCGGCAATTTCTCGTCCCGGTACCTCGCTCAACCGGACACCGTCTATCACCTGAACCACAGATTGCAAAAATAGGACAAGACAGATAGGACGAGAAAGGTAGTTGTTTATAGAGATAGGACGAGAAAGGTAGTTGTTTATAGAGATAGGACGAGACAGGTAGTTGTTTATAGAGATAGGACGAGAAAGGTAGTTGTTTATAGAAGTAGGACGAGACAGGTAGTTGTTTATAGAGATAGGACGAGACAGGTAGTTGTTTATAGAAGTAGGACGAGACAGGTAGTTGTTCATAGAGATAGGACGAGAAAGGTAGTTGTTCATAGAGATAGGACGAGAAAGGTAGCTATTTATAGAAATAGGACGATAAAGGCAGCTGTTTATAAAGAAAGGAGAAGAGAGAGGTACTGTTTACACTGATAAGACAAAGAGTTAACTGTTTATGAAGATAGGACAAGAGAGGAAAAAGTTTACACAGATAGGAGAAGAGAAGTGGCTGTTTACACTGATAGGGCAAGAGAGATAACTGTTTATAAAAATAGTACAATAGAGACAGCAGTTTACACTGATAGAACAAAGAGAGCTAACAGTTTACACTGATAACACAAGAGAGGTAGCAGTTTACACAGATAGGAGAAGATTGGTAGCTGTTTACACAGTTAGGACAAGAGAGGTAGCAGTTTGCACAGATAGTACAAGAGAGGTAGTAGTTTACACTGATAGGAGAAGAGAGGTAGATAGGACAAAAGAGACAGTAATCTAGACCTATCTATTTAAACAACAGAGACAGTTTAAAGGTAGTCGTTTATATTTTGTTTGCTTTATGTAAAATTGTCTAGTAAATGTAAAATTGCCTGCTAAATGAAAAATTGGCTGTTTAAAAAGTCTTATTTTCCCATAAAAGCTCCAATAATGCTACCTGATCCACCCACTGTAATCGTTTTGGAAGATCACTTTCCAACCAGTCAGCTGCCAAACTTAAAATCTAAAAATAAAAAAAATGATTAAACACATACTTATCCAAGGTTATGATGCAAGGAAAGTTAATTACAGTTGCGTATACTCTGCGTAAATATTGAAACCAGTTCTCTCTGGGCGGAATTTGTAAACAAGAATAGATGCATCAGTGTACGTTTAGTATCCGAGGAGGATAAAAGCATTGATTTTTGAAAATTTTAATAATTCACATAAGAGTTTCCTATGACCAGAATATTTCATTGAATTTTTATGTGAAAGATGGATCCCATGTCAGGCTGGGACATCCGTCTTGTGTTTACATTACAGCCCAGAGACAGTACACTGCAGTACAAAAGATGCGTACACCTCTGAAAAAACGTTCCTTGCTTTATAACCTTGTACTTATCTATGATTTACTTTTTAAAATAATTGTATAAAATAAAAATACGGGCCAGTGTAACGGCCAAATGAACCAGCCCCATCTTGATAGATAGATAGATAGATTTCTCTTTTATTCCTACTTTAAATATTTTCACAACTTGCTGTATTGTCATGTTTATAAAGTTTAGAGGATTTCTTACTCTTTTGCATAATTTAACTCTCATACTTTCATCATGTTTATATACGTTATTGTTTAAAAATAATGTTCAGTCGTCGTCGCATTTATCTTTTTTGAGATCTAGATATTTATTATCTCCGTATCAAGATTATATTAATTGTACAAAATTGTTTACATGTATTAAATAAAACTATTTTACGATAATATCGTGTACATACATTTTTTAATTAATTAAGAAGAAATCAATTGATTTACGGATACATTTTATCGTTTTTTTCTTGCCAAAATTGATGATACATTTATATTCAAGTATTGATAAAGCAGCATTTCAGGAGAAAAAACAAACTAAATTATTTATAAAAGGATAGCATATTTGTATGCAATAAGACTGAGAGATATTACAAACACAGTTTGTGTAATCACGTATTAGAAAGTGCAAAACATAACTTTATGCATGTTTTCAAACTACATGCACGGGGGCTAGTTTTCTTTTTTAAATTAAAAAGAAATTATGTTAGCTCATTACTTTTAAATTAGAGAGTGATTATGTTAGCTCGTTATTATTGAGGCTACATAATAAAAGGAACATTTTAATTAAAAAATGTACTAACGAGGAACATTGATGGTTCCTCGTTAATAATAAAAACAAGGACAGCCAAAAGAGACAAGACTTCAGTCTCTTCGTTGTCCCTATATTTATCAATACAATGAAGACTACTTTCCATATCAATTCTGATTTGTATCAAGCTTTTAAACAAAGAGAAGCTGTCGATTAAAAAGCTTTTCTTTGATTACTTGTAAACTTGCAATTCCATAAAAGCTTGTAAACAATCTAAACTTAAATTAAAAAGTCGACTTTACTGGATTGATATAATTGCCAACCAGTGACCACTGTGTGAAGTACATACCTCCCCCTCTTAGTATCAACTGTACATACCTCTGCCTCTGTAGTATCTACTGTACTGTAGATACCTACCCCTCCGTAGTGTCTACTGTACATACCTCCCACTCTGTAGTATCTACTGCACATACCTCCCCCTCTTTAGTATCTACTGTACATACCTCCCCCTCTGTAGGATTTACTGTACATACCTCCCCCTCTGTAGGATCTACTGTACATACCTCCCCCTCTGTAGGATCTATTGTACATACCTCCCCCTCTGTAGGATCTATTGTACATACCTCCCCCTCTGTAGGATCTACTGTACATACCTCCCCCTCTGTAGTATCTACTGTACATACCTCCCCCTCTGTAGTATCTACTGTACATACCTCCCCCTCTGTAGAATCTACTGTACATACCTCCCCCTTTGTAGAATCTACTGTACATACCTCCCCCTTTGTAGTATCTACTGTACATACCTCCCCCTCTGTAGTATCTACTGTACATACCTCCCCCTTTGTAGTATCTACTGTACATACCTCCCCCTCTGTAGTATCTACTGTACATACCTCCCCCTTTGTAGTATCTACTGTACATACCTCCCCCTCTGTAGTATCTACTGTACATACCTCCCCCTTTGTAGTATCTACTGTACATACCTCCCCCTCTGTAGTATCTACTGTACATACCTCCCCCTTTGTAGTATCTACTGTACATACCTCCCCCTCTGTAGTATCTACTGTACATACCTCCCCCTTTGTAGTATCTACTGTACATACCTCCCCCTCTGTAGTATCTACTGTACATACCTCCCCCTTTGTAGTATCTACTGTACATACCTCCCCCTCTGTAGTATCTACTGTACATACCTCCCCCTTTGTAGTATCTACTGTACATACCTCCCCCTCTGTAGTATCTACTGGGTAGTTGGAGTGAAGTAGGTTCAGGAACTGGGTTAAAGATAGTCGGGGCAGCTCTACACTCCTGAATATATCACATTGACAAATTATCCTTTAAAAATTTCACGGTTAAAAATAAACCTCGGAATTTATCACATTGAGAAATAATTCTCTTAATATATCACACTGAGAAATAAAACTCTGAATATATCACACTGAGAAATAATTCTCTTAATATATCACACTGAGAAATAAAACTCTGAATATATCACACTGAGAAATAATTCTCTTAATATATCACACTGAGAAATAAAACTCTGAATATATCACACTGAGAAATAATTCTCTTAATATATCACACTGAGAAATAAAACTCTGAATATATCACACTGAGAAATAATTCTCTTAATATATCACACTGAGAAATAAAACTCTGAATATATCACACTGAGAAATAATTCTCTGAATATATCACATGGAGAAATAATCCTTTGAAATATAAAACATTATATTAAGAATTAATAATATAATAATATTTATCTATTTAGACATGCTTTCCTTTGCAATGGAATTTAAGTTGTTAAACACGTTTCCAACAGTTTAAAATCTTAATTCGTATAGTTTCTCTTTAATTAATTATATGAATTATTGCAAACTTACCCTTTAAAGCTGGCGAGATTCTCAGAGATGAATCTAAGTGAAGCTTGCCTCACCTAGAATATAAACATAAAATCAACTTTATTCGTCTCATTAATATTCTTCTTAAAAATTTGGGTTTAAGCATTATTTATGACTAAAGGAATTGAGTCTTTGCCACAAACTCAGATTTTCTAATCACTTTATCTTGTCAATCTCGCAGACCTTAGATATTTCAAACTATGAAATATGTTAGATCAAATAATCTAAGTTTGAAATATCAAATGTTTACACCATCAAGTTGTCGAGATATAGTGATTAAAAAATTTAAGTTTGTGGCAAAAACTCAGTTCCTTTGTTATTGTAAATTTGTAACCAGATACATGGATACATGGATAAAATCTATTCAAGTGATATCTTTTCTTCTTGCATAGTAAACATATGGATGCAAATAATACAATAATCTTTTGTGTGATGTTTTTTGAAAACAAAACATTTTTGTTTTGTAAAAAAATGTTCAATTAATCAGTGAAACTTTAATCTTTTCAGAATTTCAAAGATTTCGTTTTTATTTATAATATCATTGTAAACTTGATACTCAAAGTTTTATTTCCAGAGATTGGAACCTTTTGTATAAAGTATTTAACCCTTCAGTTGATCTCTTTATCCAATTTGGGCACTTTTTATTTTGAGGATAAATGTTGGATACATTTGAAGTTATCCCTGCAGGACAACCACTGCTGGATACCGAAGAGAAATTTAATTAATGAATAACGAAAAATCACAGAAAAAAATATGATACCGTCAACAACGGGAGAACCTGAAAAGCCAATCCGACAATACTTAAGACAATACAATTTGAAAAGTTAAACAAATATTCACCTTTGTGAGGGCAAATGTTTCTCCCAATGATAGAATATCCACACAAGTCTCCAGGTGGATTTTATCTATTAAGAACTCAGCACACCGGGATATCACGCTTGTCATCTAGAATAAAAAGATTTTTAAAGGTGTCAGATGATTTCAGAAGAAACAGAAAAAATGAATAAATAAATGTTCAAGCTAAATTAAAAAATAAGAATAAAAAATAGTTTTTTTTTAACAAATTTAAATTTAAAAAAAAAATATATACAAAATTGATAAAAATCAATTTAATAGTAATACAGCGGATCTTTAACGATCATTTTATAATAATAATAGTAATAATAATAATAATAATAATAATAATAATAATTCGAATATTACCCACTTACAAAAAAAATACTTTGGGATTCTTGGGGCCCCGGGACCGACCCCAATGATTGTGGTTTAGTAGTCATATTTTGCAAACTGTAAATCATTTTGTTGAACAACATTTTTTGTAATTATTTTGTCACTCATTTTTTTACATATTTTGAAATGTGTTATTGGCCATTTTTGTGGCATTTTGTTTAACATTTTTTGCCATTTTAAACCATTTTTTCCCAGAAAATTTACCAACCTGTAGCTGAGAGGCGCAGTCTAGTACTTCTTCTATACACCCTGTATCCAATTCAAGTCTAACACAAAAAAGAATGAATGACCGTTAACTTAACAATGTAATCTAGAATGACCACTACCTAAAGGTATCATTGTAGTCTTTAATAACCGCTGTCTGGAGGTTTAAATGTAGTCTACAATGACCGCTACCCGGAGGTATAAATGTAGTCCCAAATGACCGCTAACTGGAGGTATAACTGTAGTCTATAATGACCGCTACCTGGAGGTATAAATGTAGTCACAAACGCCGCTACCAGGAGGTATACATGTAATCTAGTATAACCACTTCTGAGGTATAAATGTAGTCTAGAATAACCGCTACCTGGAGGTAAAAATGTAGTCTATATGACTGCTACCTGGAGGTATAACTGTAGTCAAAAATGACCGCTATCTGGAGGTATAAATGTAATCTAGAATGACCGCTACCTGGAGGTATACTTGTAGTCTATAATGACTGCTACCTGGAGATATAAATGTAATCGATAATGACCGCTACCTAGAGGTATACTTGTAATCTATAATGACCGCTACCTGGAGGTATAAGTGTAGTCTAGAATGATTGCTACCTGGAGGTATAAATGTAATCTATAATGATCGCAACATGGAGGTATAAATGTAGTCACAAATGACCGCTACCTGGAAGTATAAATGTAGTTACAAATGACTACTACCTGGAGGTATAAATGTAATCTAGAATGACCGCTACCTGGAGGTATAAATGTAGTCTATTATGACTTCTACCTGAAGTTATAAATGTAATCTAGAATGACCGCTACCTGGAGATATAAATGTAGTCACAATTATGACCGCTACCTGGAGATATAAATGTAGTCACAATTATGACCGCTACCTGGAGGTATAAATGTAGGCAGAGACCGCTACCTGAAGGTATAAATGTAAACTAGTTTGACTGCTACCGAGGTATAAATGTAGTCTAGAATGACCGCTACCTGGAGGTATACATGTAGTCTAGAATGACCGCAAGCCCTCTAGCGGTAACTCCGTGTAACGAAATCTCTTCCTCAAAACTTTCCCTAAATTGTGTCGAAATAAAAAACTATTTCATCAAGAAAAATTAATTATTGGGAGAATTCGTTAAAAATTAAAAATTTTATTTTCAAAATCGTTTTCACCAACATTTACAATATTCAAAATCGTTTTCAAAATATCTGGTTGCTATGCTGCGGAATTACCTGAGACCCGAGGAGAACATGGCCCGGAAATAGTCGCTACAGCTCGCGAGAAGAGATCGATGTGCCTAAATATATTTCATGTGAGACATTATTCTCAATGTGTTCAAGGACTCACTAAAAAATGGTTAAATCTGATTATTGATTAGTGAGAAATTACTGGAATAAGTGAGAGAAGAAGTTTTGATCGAGAAAGTAAAATTGTATACAAAGTTCTTTGACTCGTGATATAGTTTAATTAATGAATCTTTGAATGAGTTAGTATACATTGATGAGTGAGTGGATGAGTGCGTGAGTGAGTTAGTATTGTACATGAATAAGTGGTTTAGTGAATGAGTTTATAAATACAGCAGACAATAAACAAAAGATATATTAGAGGGTAAAGGTTAGGTGAGAGGCTACTAGGGGCACAGCCCGGAGAAATCCACACGTGAAATCTGCGTAAACGTCAGAACTAAGGGGGGGGGGGGGGTGATCCTAGAAAACACGGATCAAGGTGCAACCTGAAAGTTATTTTTCGGTAAAATGGGGAGGAGGAGTTTATAATGATTTCGTGATCGATGAAGATTGGGAGAGGGAGGGGAAAAAGGGGGGGGGTCAAGGATGAGAACGAGAAACAAGAAACGAGATAAGAAAAATTAACAAGGATGGGAAGGTTTAGAAAAGTTCGTGGGAGAAATAAATGATTTTCTATTTTCATGATTGTGTTAGATCTTGGTGTCTGGAAAATATCAAGGCAGTTGAAGTCATGAAGATTTTTACATTCTACACTCTTACACTCTACACTCTACACTCTACACTCTACACTCTACACTCTTCACTCTACACTCTACACTCTACACTCAATTTCTGTAAAAACTTTTCTTTTTGAAATCTTAACACTCCTGAAAGTTTGAATAGGACGAATCTAAATCAACTATTTGACAAAGATATCTTTAAGATTTGAACTCGGTACATTGTGCATCCTGATTACTTGCATTGTCAAGCCTGCATTTGCATTCTGTATCTGCACTGATCTGTAACCACAGCAAATGTGTCTGCAATAGTATACATGAATGCAGTTATCTCATATACAAGAAAAATAGACTAAGAAAGAATAAAAAAATCCCAGTTTACAAGACAAGTAAAAAACTGAAAATTTAACGTTTTGGATTTTTCTGAGCCGTAAATTCAATAGAAGATCAAAACCAAATTTTAAAAAGCAATTTTTGTTATATTGGTTCTATATAGCATACTAAAAATTACTTTATTTCATTTGTAAAACATAGTTTCTGCAATAACAGGTTTTTTATTTCAATATCCTGGCTTAAATTTCAGACACTTTTCCTCAGCGACAAATATTAAAATGAAAATGCAATTCATTCATTTTTTTCTGATTTGTTTACTTATTTGTTTACAACGTACGATTGAAACACGAACTAACGTAGTGCACTTAATATGCACTATCACTATCTGTATTACTATAAATCTAGTCCACAAGAATATCTGGGTTAAGCCCTGACTGTTGGATCTTATGAACAACAATTACAAACCAACATTTAGAGATTAAAGGAGAAACTTGCCGGGATTAAAGGGTTAATGTAAGGAGAATACTCCATTTAGAAGTTAGGATGGTAGTTTGAGAGAGTTTTAGGAATTTGGGTTAAAGAGGAAGTTTAAACTGAGAACTGTGCACGACCATGCTTTACGCGCTGTGCATCTATTCCTCGGGTGCAGTTTAGATTACCACGATATCTCATATACCGCGCTTCATGATTTCTAAACGGTGTATTAATCTCGGGAGGCCGAGATATAACTGTTTTAAAAGATCAGAGCTATTTACAAGTATAGAAAAATCTGTAATTTTTAAAATCATTTAATATTTTGTTGTGTCTTAGATTGCATTAACAAAAAAAATTCATTTTTTTAGATTTAACCGAAAGCAAATTCACAGAAATGTGCGAAAAATTTCATTAAATCCACGAATGTGGAATACTACTTTTTTAAGTAATAGTAAAACTATGTTGTAATCAATTAAAAGAACTTTTATTTTTCTGAAGAGTTTTAAAAATGTTATAATTACTATTTTTACATTGATGCAGATTTTGAATATGTTTGGGATTCTAGTTTTTCAATAAAAAAATTCCAAGGTTTCTTCGAAACTTTGAATTTCCTCTACTTCCTGTATATTTAACAGTTTTAGCCCAGGAATTTTCAAAACCCTTGTATGGTTGTGATGTTATGTATAAAGTTTTAGCCAAACTTTTCAACTGTATAGTTTATTCACAAATATACAGTGCTCCGTGGTCAAAATTCATTTCAGTCATTTCCCCTTCCCTTTTTTGGCCACCCCCCCCCCTAAAAAATCCTTGCGCACACCTATACTTCTGAACACCCACTACTATGCTCAGTGTTCAAACGCCCTATCAATGTCCTGGAAAAAGGGCGGATTTAAGGTTTATAGATTTATTTCTGTAAAAACTTTTCTTTTTGAAATCTTAAACCTGCATCTATCTATTTATATTATACATATATATAAAGTTGTAATCTCTGTTTTTTTCTGTTTGTTTGTATGTCCGATTATAACAGAGGAACCACTTAACCGATTTGCCTCAAATTTTAATTGGAGAACTCGGGAGAACCACTGGAATGTTTTACCTCGGTTTTGAGTTTCTAAGTTGAGTGGGTCGACTCTTATTTGGAAAAATAATTAAAATCGTAATTTACGACCAAGCGCGGGTAAACGGCGGGAGTAACTATGCGTACCCTGATGCAGGTAACTCCCGGGCTAGTCTATGTACATATATAGAGTATTTAATTTATTATTCAATCAGAAAACAGATTTACACCCTTTATGGATATATATATAGTAGTTAGGATGTGTGTATGCCCGAGCAGAAATCAAGACCGATTTGCCTCGAATTTTGATTGGTGAGCTATGTAGAACCACTGGAATGTTCTTAGCTTGGTTTAGAAATTACAAGTTGAGTTGGTTGGGTTCTTTACAGAAAAAGTAGTTTCCAGACAAAGCTGGGTTTCCAGGCAGTTAAAAATAATAATTCTGCATGGGTAATATATGTAGGATATGCAGAATGCATCAGTCGTTACTTTTCATAGAAAAAATGTTTAAGAATATCAAACGAAGTTTTCAATGATTGCAAATAATGCAGTTGATCTCAAAGAAAAATTGAGCCTTTGTCACAAACCCAAGTTTTTGAATCCCAATACCTTTGGAACCTAATGGTTTAAACCTTTGATATTTCATAATTCATAGTTTGAAATATCTGGTCTTTGAATTTTGGTTTCAAAGATATAGGGATTCAAAAATCAGTTTGCGACTTAAACTAAATTCCTTTATAACAAAATGCACATTCCACAGTGGTTCAGAAGGAGCATAAGAGACAGTGCATGGACAGAATTTGTAAATTAATTGGACAAAAAAAGAAGGAATGGGGGAAAAACTAGGAGAAGGAATAAGGAAAAAGCAAGATATAAAGATAGAAGGATAACTAGCCATCGGAAAAAAATCATTTAAAAATTTAATTGTTAGAATATGTGATCAAAAGTTGGATTAACACAATTTTTTTAAATGGCAGCATTCTGGAACTTGAAAAATATACCTATACTCAAAAATCTATCCTTCTTTCTATCTATCAATCTTTCAATCTATCTATCTATCTATCTACATTCTACCTATCTATCTATTTTTGTATCTATCTTTGTTTCTATCTATCTATTTATCTAGCAATTCAATGCCTAATTCTTAGTCATGCATTTAATTATTTATCAAAACAACTGTCAAGTGATCTTATCTATAATAATAATTCATTCATCTATTCATCCCCCCTCCCTCCATCCTATCATCCTTTCATTCATTACAAAATTCATCCTCATGTCTAATATTTGTGTAAGAACTGATTGAACATATCTGCAATTAACAATTATGAATATTATGTTCAGGCAATATCATGGATTTATAAAAATACAGATACAACACTAGATGTCGTCACCTAAAGATTTAAGGGTTTTTCGTTCACAATAACCCTGAGGCAGAAGCCCAAAAGGAGTTTCGCGCATGCGGCGTAGAACTAACTTTCTATTTGTCTCGTAATTTTACGCAGCATGCGCGTAACTCCTTGGGCGTCTGCCTCAGGGTATTTGTGTACAACAAACCCCTAAATCTAGAAAAGACGACAACTAGTGTTCTATCTATATTGTTATTAATCTATGGGCAGTATTAACAAAAACTAATTTAGTCGGAACACCTCTATACTGCAGAGCAGCAGTATGCAATTACTGGATCTGCAAAAGAAGGAACTTACTTTATTAATGCATCGATATCGTTTATGTACAGGGCTAAGGTGTACAATGTGCAATGTACATAAACTATGTACATCCTGTTTTATCTCCAAACCCAAATGAAAAAACATCGAAAATACTTTATGTACTTTAACATTTAAAATATACAAATGGGTTCTAATGCTATGACTCTACTGACTTATAACCAGGGTCCAGGACTCCTTATTTGCACTAAAGAATTGTTCTAGAAAAGGTTCTCAGATGTAACTATAATATTTTCTGCCGCTTTTTTTGTGTGCTTTTATAAATCATTTTTTTATGAACACGTACCCTGCATTTGAGCCAACATGACATGACTGTGGAGATATTATGATGTTCTTGGTACAGTTGTACTACCAAATCCTTTATTTAACCTTTAATGTATGCAATGCACAGGCCTATAGTAGAAAAATATTATGTTTAGTTAAAGCGCATAATTATGATTTAGAGTTCCATTTATGACTGAACAGGCCTGGTCTAGGAAGCCTAAATTCCAGGCCTATAGGCCTGTATAGGCTTGCAAACAATCATTAATATAATTCATTATATACGTTCTTCAGAAACTGACTATTAAGAACAGTCGTGCCCGCAGGAAAAAATGCACCATTTTCAACTGTGCAAAAACCTGGCATGGTAATTCGTTTATATTAAACATTTGATCCAGTGCCAATATTTTGCAGATCATTTAAAGGAGATTTCATGCTAAAATACCAGAAGTGAATTAAATATTAAACCTAAGAGTATAGGGGTTGAATCTTACATTTACAAAATATAAACCTGTTCCTGTCAAAAAACGGTTAAAATTGAGTTACTTCTGTTACAGCCTATAAACCCTTAGCAGAAACACTGCAAAAAGTAAATATTGAAACAAGAGCAAAAACCTTGCAAATTGACAGCAAATATTTCCTTTTGGGGAAAATTTCTCTCTAAACAAACAACTCTATACATTTACAATGCAGTACATAAAGTGTATCTTTCAGATTACAGTGTTCAGTGTGCACTGCACAATTTATGGAGTACAGTGTGCAGTGAATCAGTACAGTGTGCAGTGAATCAGTACAGTGTACAGTAAATCAATACAGTGTACAGTGAATACAGTACAATGCTGAACCTACAGAGAATTGCAGTACAGAGTATAGTTAATACAGTACAGTGTACAGTGAAAACAGTACAGTTCACAGCGAATAGAGTAGAGTGTACAGTGAATACAGTACAGTGTAAAGTGAATACAGTACAGTGTACAGTGAATACAGTTTAGTATACAGTTAATAAGAACATTGTACTGTTAATACAGCACAGTGCACAGTGAATATAATACAGTGTACAGTAAAACAGTACAGTAAACAGTGAATACAGAACTATGTACAGTGAATACGGTACAGTGTACAATGAATAAAGTACAGTGTACAGTGAATACAGTACAGTGTACAGTGAATACAGTACAGTGTACAGTGAATACAGTGCAATGTACAGTGAATAAAGTACAGTTTACATTGAATAAAATACAGTGTGTACAGAAAATACTGAGTACTCTACGGTGTAAGGTGTACATTGAACAGAGCACAGTGATTGGTTTAAATTGAGAGGAATGAAATGTTTCCACAAAATACAAGTTTATTTAATGGATCTTTAATGGATCAGCCTGTAGGCAGGCTGGGGCTTGGATACTGGATATTAAACCAATATATCATTATTCTTAGAGTCCAGATAAATACACCTTATATTGAATCTTCAAATATCAAATAATCTCAGGGAGGAGGAAAGGAAAAGGGAAAGGGGAAGGGGAGGGTAGGGAGGAGGATAAAGGGAAGGAAGGAAGATGGGGAAGAAAGAAAAAGGAGGAGGAAGGACAGAAAAGGGTTAGGAAAGAGGGAAAAAAGGTTGCATAAAGAAAATATTTCTATAAGGAATAAAAAATTTTTCATATCCTATTTATTTTAATATCTTTTCTGTTGGTTTTCCAGATGTTAAAGTACTTCAATAAATCATAATCCAAGTACTTGTTATTCATTTCATATTTTTGTTGAAAGGTTGAAGTTTATGAGAATTTAACCGTTATATGCACAGTTTACAGTTCAAATACATAAACTAGAGATTATCAGGGTCTTTTTGCTTTATATTCTACAGTTGGAGTAGGTTGGTTTATCTACAGTTGGAGTAGGTTGGTTTATCTACAGTTGGAGTAGGTTGGTTTATCTACAGTTGGAGTAGGTTGGTTTATCTACAGTTGGAGTAGGTTGGTTTATCTACAGTTGGAGTAGGTTGGTTTATCTACAGTCAGAGTAGGTTCGTTTATCCTACAGTTGGAGTTGGTTGTTTTATCTACAGTTGGAGTAGGTTGGTTTATCTACAGATAAAGTAGGTTGGTTTATCTACAGTTGGAGTAGGTTGGTTTATCTACAGTCAGAGTAGGTTGGTTTATCTACAGTTGGAGTAGGTTGGTTTATCTGCAGTTGGAGTAGGTTGGTTTATCCTACAGTTGGAGTAGGTAGGTTTATCTACAGTTGGAGTAGGTTAGTTTATCTACAGTTGGAGTAGGTTGGTTTATCTAGAGTTGAGGTAGGTTGGTTTATCTACAGTTGGAATAGGCCAGTTTATCTACAGTTGGAATAGGGAATCTATGTAAGAAAGTCCCGGGAAAAAAAGTTTCTTGAAAAAAAAACCTGGAAATAAAAACCGTGGAAAAAAGTCCGAATTTTTTCAAGTCCTTGGAAAAAATGTTAGTGGAAATAGAGTCTTGTGTTTTGGATTCCTGGGACTTTTTTTCCTAGAAAAAAAGTCCTAGAAAATAAAGTCTTGAATTGTTAGGACTTTATTCCCGGAGACTTTTTAATAAAAGGACTTTTTTCCACAGGACTTTTTTAGTGTAATTTATGACTTTTTTCCGGAAACTTTTTTCCAAGAACTTTTTTGACGGTATACTTATCCAGGGTGGTTTATCTACAGTTGGAGTAGGTTGCTTTATCTATTTTAGAAATAGGTTGGTTTATCCTACAGTTTCAGTAGGTTAGTTTTACTACTTGAGCAATTCAAGTAATTTTGTACAAGAATAAAGAAGAAGAAATAGAGATAATTTCGTATTCTCAATTGCATGTAAGAAGTATGTGAGAATGTCTTTATGCAGATTGCTGATTGCAAACTATAGTTCTCAACCCGACATGTTTTAGCATATTAATCATTTGCAAATTCAGACAATACTGTGTGCAGTAAACAGTTCCCTGTGGTTTAGCCTTACTTGCAAAATTTATAATTTTGCATATAACGTGTACACTGCACAGCAGGGGCTGGTTATCTTGCATTTGCAATCTTTCTTTTAAAATGGACAGTGCACGGACCTTAGAAGATGTTAACTTTATAACTTAAATGTACGGTGGTTGGAAATTATAAGGCCGACGTTTTTATTTAAGTTTTAATTGTTAACAAGCTTTTTTTCTAATTACAAGTTTACAATCAATTATCAAGAAGCTTTTTAATTGACAGCTTCTCTTTGATTGCATGTTTTAGTGTAATCACACTGTTTAAAAGTTAGATGTAAATCAAAATTAAAATCAAAAGTCGTCTTTTTATATTCATATAATCGCCTACATACGTACATTGTACATAGTTACTGTAAATATGTAAACAATTATAAATATGTAAATATCAGTAATCAATATAACAGATAAATTATGATCTATACATAACAACACTCCCTTGTAGTAAGCACTCTACAGTACAGTATGGAAGCTTTCTTCAACTTGACATCATACTTTCATTTAACATATCAATCTATCAACTTTTATTGACCCCCTGATATATTGTGTATATATATATATATATATATATATATATATATATATATATATTATATATATGTGGAAACCATCCATACACATGTTGTAAATTGCACTAAGGAAGTGCAAAGTGAATTGAAATCTTTATATATAGAATTTCTTTCATGAAAACTTCTACAGTTCAATGCCATTGTGTACAAACTGTACAGTACACTACATAGCCTTTTATCAATTATTCATCTTAAAATTCGGGTTTAAAATATACGTGCTTCTACAGGGAGAAATGGATTGGTGAGGTGAGGAAGATGAGAAGGCGATGCGATATCTCAAAGTCGGTAGTAATCTAATGCATAACTTAGATGTGTGATATCCGTGTGGATCCAAAAAGTTCATCAAGGAATGACCCACCCTACTGCAACATTGTACAGTGTACATGTTGCAAATATGTACAGTGCCCGCTGTACGGTGTATTTACTGTACATATTGTACATGTTTACCTGAAACATTTCTCCCTCTGCAATAAGTTTGACATCCAGTAAAATTCCTCTTTTTCGTAAACATTCAAATCCATCAAGTACATCCTGAAAACAAAATCATTAAATATTTTAATAAAACTATTGATTTTATGTAAAAGTATTTATTTTTCAGCAGGAAGAGCCAATTATAGGCAAAATTTGTGTCTTACCGTTCTTTCTCTAAATCAAAAATGTCGCAAAAGATTTTTAATTTGTTTAAAATAAGCAAAAATATCTTAAATATTTTAAGATTATGAATTAAGCTGACTATTTTCTCAATTACTTCTAATAAAAAATATTGCTTTATAATTCTAAAACGTACATTGTACATTTGTACAGAGAGCTAAAAAACAAGTGAGACTGAGTTAAAAAGGTAAAATCAAAGGTCAAGGCGTCGCAACACTTTAAAGTCGACCAAGTCTTGAAAATTGATACTTTTCTCAGCAGTCTGGATATATGTAGCTTAGATAGTTAAATACTGTATTGGTGCCAGTAATGGAAAACATTTTTTAGCCTCAATTCTACAATCTTATATATTTTTGTCTTGTCCTTGTTCTATATTTTTATATAATTGTGTATCTATATTTGTTTTTAATAAATATTTCTTGCTTCTATATAATTGTTTTTCTTTTCTTGTGTCTTGCATAATTTATTTCATTAATCCTAATTCTATTTTCTATTTATAGATTAACATTTTTAGAGATACAGTGAGCCCAAAAACTTTGGAATAAGAAGACTATATTTTAGACGAGTTACTCACAGTTAATAATACTTTATTGACAACCTAAAACTCTTTTGCAATTAGGGTTCTGCTCTAAATACAGTATTTTGATGGTATATCAACTGATCAACTGATCAACTGATCAATGAAAGAAACGAGTTTACAGGTTCAGTGGACCGTACATTTAAGAAAAAGACTAAATAAATTCCGCTAAGTAGTCTCTGTAGTCTTAACCTTTATGGGTAACCCTATACTTGATAAAGCAAATAGTTAAATAAACTTTTAAAATTTATTGTACACTGCACAATTGCTGTGCTGTGTTTCATGTTAATTTGATTATTGAAAATTGAAAATCGAGAATTGAGTCTTCCTGGTTCAGAGTTTTGTGGGTCTCAATCACAGTAGAAGAGTGGAGAAATATATATGTAACTAACTGAAGTGCCCGGCGTGGCTGTTAAAATATATATTTTTTTTAATTAGATTTTTTTAGGCTTTGACACCCCCGGCCACTCATGAGTGTCCACAAAAAATGTCAACCCATTCGGTCTAGCCGTTAGACATCATTTATATTTTTAAACATTTTGAATTGTTGACCTCAAATAAGCTCGTTTTTAACATCAAGTAAATTGAAACCCCGTTTTTAAACTTTGTAATTATTTATTTTTGAAAATAGTCGTCAAAATATCATGTTATTGGTGAATTTTTAGAATTACCCCAAAAAATGTCAAAGGAATATTGAAAAAAATTAACCGGACTTAAAGCACCACTACGGGTGTGGGCCATGTCATGTCCCAGGCAAAAATTTGGTTTATCGGGAACTAACAAAACAACAAACCAACATAAAAGTGGCAAATATAGTTGTATCTTACATACTACAGTATTATACAAGATAATGTTTCATTCAACAATAAAATATTATCCTCTTATCTTACTTCCTCTTAGATATTGGAATAAATTCAGTCAATTGTTAATTAGTCCCTCCTAAACCATGAAACGAAAGTTACAGAGACTTTCTATGTAAATTGTTTTCTAGATTAAGAGGTATTTAATTCCAAAAATTCCCTTAACATTATTTCTGAAGCAGTAATTTGCCGGTCAAATTATAGGAAAGTCTAAATTTTTCAAGAAAAAAAACCCACGTAAATCTCCCGCATTGTTGACCAGATAAAAGCTGTGTGTGCAACCATTGGAAACTGAACATGTCACTCAGTAAATAGAAAAGTGAAATTGGTTTAAAACAAGATACAAATTTTCCTTAATGAATGTGTTTTTTTATTCAGATAAGTGTGTACTACTGCGTAACTGAATGCAATGAGTAAACACCAATTAAACTTTCTACCCCCCCCTCCCCCCTCCCTCTATATACTTAGTTTGCAAACCCTTACAACTAATTCAATTCATACAGTAAGAACCAAAAATAAATGGAATGTTCTTCATTTTCTATTATGAAATAACCATAGGATTTTCTTTTTGCACCTAAACTGAATTTAAAAAAGCTTTCTAGGACCAAACTTAATTAATATCAAGAAATAGTTGAACCACATAAACTAAGTTGAATCACTTCTCAACCCGGCGTACAACAGAACTGGTTGAACCTGAGTTAAGTATTTCAACTGCTTCTCGCTATTCATTAAATCTGGTCCCTAGACATGTTTAGAAATGTATTTGTTGCAACAACACTCCTGTATGCCAAGTCCATTAGCTCCTGATCCAATCAGGGTTCAGTCATGTGTTTGTTGTCTATTCTGAACCAATAGAAATAGTTTGGCGGTAACATCTATCTTTCTATCTATCTCATTATCCAATCAGAGTTATGAATCCTTTAATCTGCGCTATCAGTTAATGGAAATAATTACTTCTACAGAAACTATGGTAACAAATGCGAATTACTAAATCAATCGCGATTGTTTAAGAATAGAAAGACCAAAGACGAAAATCATTCTGGAGTTTTAGTTGTTGATAGTTACTGCATGCTGTAGTAGCAGAAACTAAATCTTGATAGTTACTGCATGCTGTAGTAGCAGAAACTAAATCTTGACAGTTACTGCATGCTGTAGTAGCAGAAACGAAATCTTCTTCTTAACACCCAAAACTACAAAGTTTTGACAAACGCTTATTTTTGTATTTCTCCTCAACGGCTTTCTAATACTTTTTTGTAGCTTTAGATATATACAATTTAAAAGTGCAACACGTTTGCTTCTAGCTTATGATAAAAAGGAAAAATTGGGATTAGACTAAATTTTTGCAAGAGAGCGGCCACACTGCACATCTTGGCTTTGCAGTAGGGAATTTCTTTGCTTAATCTTTAATTAACAATTTAAAGCAATTTCAATCTATAATGCATTTTATATTGAAAGAGTTTAAGGTCGTCATTAAAGTCTCATTCTTTGTGGGTAACCCTGTAGTTTGTCAGGAAAAGACGACTAAAAAATATATTTACGGAAGTAAACACAAAAAAAAACCTTGCGATAGTTAGCGCTCAGACGGAAATATAATTAAGAGCGTATATTGTAGAAAGAAAATCCCGATTTTCCTTTTTGGTGTCTATAATTTGTATACAGGGTGTCCCACATCATATTGGATTGTATCTAGCTCTAAAATCCGATTTCCGGGACTAATCAGAAAATTTAAAAAGAATGAATTTTGTCAAAATTTTGTAGTTTTGACAAAATTAGGTTCTCTCTCATTTTTATCACATTGTTTTTCGAATAAACTGTAACTTAAGATTTAAAAACGCATGTTCATCCATTGAATGTAAATTTGTCATAATTTGTCATATTTGCTATTTTATAATTTTTGTTGGGCTATGTCACGGTACTTCAAGTTCATTTCATGTACCGGGCTGAATTTTAACTAGCCAGGGCAAGCAGTACAGTACAAATACAGACTACATGAGACAACACGGGACGGTACACCATATGAACGATCGCAAATAAAGTCTCTTGCGCTATAATTTGGACATTTTTTGAATAAGAGATCAAACTATCGGAAAACAAAAATTGACGTAATGGGTGTACACAGGGGGGGGGGGAGAATTCGTAGAATACTATTTTATCCTTACGTGGGGCGTATACAGGGCGGGGGGTATTCGTGTATACGATCCTGTTTTATCCTGATCGTTGATTTGTATGCAACAAAATCTTTAAAAATTAGATGTGACGCATTTCTGTGTTAATAATGTATATATGATAATTTTTTCCTTTATGATAATCATAATAGTAGTTATATTAAGTTATATGTAAAGCAAGGTTATAATGCAAGGAAAGTTATTTCAGAAGTGTACGCAGTCATAGGAAATTTATTATGTAAATTATCTTATCAAAATTTAATGCTTTTAACCTCCTCGGATACTAAACGAACACTGATGTATCTATTCTTGTTTACAAATTCCGCCCAGAAAGAACTGGTTTCAATATGAACGCAGAGTATACGCAACTGCAATTAACTTTTCTTGCATTATAACCTTGATGTAAAGTATGTAATGTAACGCCATGAGAAAAACTAAACGTTACAGTTTCAGGGGACTGTTCAAAGTGTCAATTAGATATCCATGTTTTTGTTTCTTTAAACTGTTTAGTTTCAGTTGCGTATTTCTGAGCGAAAGTGCACTTGCGCATTTCTTACCTATAATAAACAATGGAGAAATTTACAGAAATAATAACTTTTCTTGTCAGAAATACGATGTTATCTTTCACATTTTTATCAGATTAAGGTTTCAAGGGTACCGTTGTAAATTGGCTATTGCTATCATTGCACAGAAGGTCACTTGAAATTACACTAACAGTCCTTTTCAATGCTAGATTATTTATCTTTACTTAAACGATTTAATACTAACAGTGACAACCATGATATATATTTTCCCATGAAACTAAATGACACAGAAGAAACATTTTTAGCAAGATAACTTTAAATCTCACATTTACTGGATTTTTAGCAGAGTATGAGATGGCAGAAATTTAAGATATTTAACTTTGTTTATCTCGAAATTAAAAAAATATTCTACAGCCGGGAGGGTCAACTTTTAAAGCACTGAATATGTTCTTAAAGGGAGTGTTCGCGAAAAATTAAAGGAGGTATAGGCGTGCGTCAAAAATTATTCGATGGGGATTGCTACTAATCTCACTTCTATCTGTTGCGTCTATAACACTCTAGTATGCCGAGTCCATTAGCGGCTGATCCAATCAAAGTTCAGTCATGTGTTTGTTGTCTATTCTGAACCAATAGAAATTGCATAGCGGTAACATCTATTTTTCATATCTAGCTCATTATCCAATTACAGATGAATCCTTATATCGGCGCTAAACAGTAAATGGAAATCAGAAAGTTGCAATATTCGATTCGGATCGTTAAAAAATCAATTTAATTCCAAAGAAATTATTTAGAAAGTACAACCTTTAATCAATGATTTTTTTTCGACGCATTCGCATAAAGTTGATATTTCATAATATTCTTTTTTTTGTTTTATATTCGATGCACTTAAAACTACGATTTTTTTGTCCGCTACGTGTCTCTGTCACATTGAGAGCAGAGACACCTGGCGGCCAACTAAACTCGTCGTTTAAATTGCATCGTATATAAAGCAAATAAAGAATACTGTAAGGGTAATTTCAACTGACCTTCCTTACAAAGACTTCAATGTCCGATTCACAACGGTAACCTTAAAAGCTTTGTCTGATCAAGCATGAATTAGATATCAACGTTTATAGTTTGAAAAATAAATATTTTTAATTTTTTTCTACAAAAGTGACTTTCGCAAAACATAAGAACAAAATTGCTTTTGAAAAATGTAAATGAATTTATAACAAAATTTCTAAAATATTTGTTAAGGCTTTGTCTGATCAGAAACAGATGAGTTATTAATGATTTCTTCTTAATTTTTTTCCTTATTTTGATTTCTCTATAGAAGAATTTTTTGCTACAGAACCAAGATTAATTGTTAAAATAAAACCCGTTTCAAGAAAAAAACGACATCTTTCATATCATTAATCAGATGAAGGGTTTAAAGGTCTTGTTATGATTCGGACAATGATATCATATCTCTTTCAAAGAAATAAAAACGACAGCTAGTTCCATTCAGCTCATCACTTGAAATTTCATGAACAATATCTTTTTATTGAGTTTGTACCTGATAATGGGATGAGTTCTCATACTGTTGGACTGTTTCTTCCTGAAAAAATATTATTTTTATTTTTCCCGCGTGGAACCTTTATTAAATTTCATCCCGTCCATACCCTCTCATATATATAAATTACCTTCCATAGCTGCTGTTCCCCCCCCCCCCCCCTAGAAATTCATCTAAAATAAATATATTCATCTAAAATAAATATGACCACCAGAGCCCGAAAGTTAAGACAATTAGAAAAATAAATTGTCGGGAAATATTATTTCATATTGTCTTATATTCTTTAAGCCTTTTTTTAATTCTTACATTAATATACTGAGCGTCCAGTATCATATTAGATTATCTCCCAGTATTAACGCCAAAGTACGCACATAATACTATCAAAAACCTAGTGTTTTCTGCATGCAAATCTTTACACATTATGCTTATACAATTTTTTAAAATGATTCATTCTTTTTAGATTTTCGGATTTTAGAGCTAGATACAATCCAATATGATGTGGGACACCCTGTATACAAATTATAGACACAAAAAAAGATTTTCTTTCTATAATATACGCTCTTAATACGCTAACTTTCGCAAGGTTTTTTTTGTGTTTACTTCCGTAAATATATTTTTAAGTCGTCTTTTCCTGACAAACTACAGGGTTACCCACAAAGAATGTTACTTTAATGACGACCTTAAACTATTTCAATATAAAATGTATTATAGATTGTAATTGCTTTAAATTGTTAATTAAAGATTAAGCAAAGAAATTCCCTACTGCAAAACCAAGATGTGCAGTGTGGCCGCTCTCTTGCAAAAATTTAGTCTAATCCCAATGTTTCCTTTTTATCATAAGCTAGAAACAAACGTGTTGCACTTTTAAATTGTATATATCTAAAGCTACAAAAAAGTATTTGTAAGCCGTTGAGGAGAAATAAAAAAATTTGGAGTTGCGAAACTTTCAAAATCAAGGCTGTACGAAATATTTAAAATCAAGGCTGTACAAAATATTTGAAATCGAGGCTGTACAAAATATTTAAAATCGAGGCTGTACAAAATATTTAAAATCGAGTCTGTACAAAATATTTAAAATCGAGACTGTACAAAATATTTAAAATCGAGACTGTACAAAATATTTAAAATCGAGGCTGTACAAAATTTTTAAAATCGAGGCTGCACAAAAAATTTGGTGACTAACTTTCAGAGTTGTCTAAATCTGAGTGATACTAATTCACAGCTGTGGTTAGACAGAAATGTCAGAAAAAAGACTCCGTGCGGTCGTCTTTGAAGTCTCATTTTTTATGGGTCACCCTGTCTGTAGATGTCTACATGTATACTTCTACTGCAGTATTGGCAGTTACAAACAAGAATATCATAAAGTAGGAAGATAAATCATATTTATAGGAACACATCAACAACTTCCTTCATATACACCATGCTAGCTCCCAGATAACAGTGCTTTTAAAGGGACTATGAGTGTATAATGTTAAGTGAACCTCCATGCAAAGATGAGCATGCCTGATTTACAACGGTACCTAATTGCCACCTTAATCTGATTAGAAATGTGGAAGATAAAGTCGTAATTCTAACTCGAAAAGTGTTTATTTCTGTCAGTTTCTCCATTAGAAGCAAGAAATGAGAAATTTCGCAGAGAAACCGCAAATTCATACTTGATCAGACAAAGCTTTTAAGCACTACTCAAACATTAGGTCTTTTAGATTTTTCAAATTGAACATATTTCTATTTGCACATAGAGTTAAATAACTTACAAACCAAGCCAATTTTTGCTTATGTATTTCTTTTTCTTGGATGTACACATTAGATTTAGTTCTTAATGTGAATTAATCAATATTTGGTCAAGGAAAAACATAAAATGATCAGATTTTTTTTATAATTGATAAATCTAAAAGACCTAATATTTGAGTAGTGTAAAGTTATCGATGTAGATCGGACAATGCCATCTTTGCATTTACTGCCACTTGAAATTACGCTTACAGTCCCTTTAAGAATTCAAAATTTAGAATGTGACAGAATTAAGAAAAGAATAGAATTGAAAAATTCTAGAACAGGATAGAAAGAAAATGATTAAAAATGAAATAAAGTAGATTAGTACTGAATAAAATATAATAGAATTTATTAGGAATACAATATAATTAAGAATATAATAGTGAAGAAGTGATAGAGTAGAGTAGAATAGTATAGAATAGAATTAAGATATGGAGTAGAAAAGAAAAGAATAGAAGTAAGAATAGAATAGAATAGAAGTAAGAATAGAATAGAATTGAAGTAAGAATTTTGTAGAATGGAATCAAATGAAAAATGTTATATATGAAGAATTAAGAACAAAATAGATTAAGAATAGAAAAGAGTATAATAGAACTAAGAATATGATAGACTATTAAAGGATTAAAAATGTACAAATAAAAGAATACATACAATTTAAAGTAGAATATAATTAATTAAATTAATACTAATATTAAAAGTAGAATAAAATTAAGAATAATATTTAAATCCCTACTAATATTAAAAGTAGAATAAAATTAAGAATACTATTTAAATATCTACTAATATTAAAAGTAGAATAAAATTAAGAATACTTTGGTTAAATACTCATTCTTCTGTTTGAAAACTGACGGCGGGGGTTCAGTGTCATCTCCCTAAAAATGGTAAAATGTTATAAATTATGTTAAAAATATGTTAATATGTTATACATTATGTTAAAGATTTGTTAATATGTTATACATCATGTTAAAAATATGGTAATATGTTAAACATTGTGTTAAAAAAAAGGTTCTGTGTTAACGGTAGTGAAGTGACATACTGTCAGGAAAAAGTGTTTACAGTATCATATACAATGAGAACCATGAAACTGTGGAATAGGAAGACAACTTTAAATAACAAGTGATTTAATAAGTTACTAGTAGAACCATTTGATTTGGACCAACATTAAATGCACTTAATCATTGTTTTAATGTCGTCTTCCTATTACATAGTTTTCTGGTTCTGACTGTAATTAATAAATGTGATAAAATTAAAAAGAAAGGTTGTATTGCTCTTTATAAATTTGGAAAAAGCTATGAATCATTGAATATTTGTAACATTTTGAGAGTTCTGCTATCATCATTTTGTTTCTAAAAAAATATCAATAAAAAATCAGTGTTATAGAAATAAGACGTGTATGCATTTGTTAATATTGGCAAATGTGACCAACATTTGTAGAAATGTTACGAGCAGAGGCATATACAGGTTGGGGCCCAGCCTTTTACCCCTTGGATCAGTGAAATCTATGATTCCCAGAGGGTGTTCAGGCCTCGATGGGTGCCTAGCCCCCCCCCCCACCTAGAAAAAAATTAAAACATGCGACAACACGGGACGGTACACCATATGAACGATCGCAAATAAAGTCTCTTGCGCTATAATTTGGACATTTTTTGAATAAGAGATCAAACTATCGGAAAACAAAAATTGACGTAATGGGTGTACACAGGGGGGGGGGGGAGAATTCGTAGAATACTATTTTATCCTTACGTGGGGCGTATACAGGGCGGGGGGTATTCGTGTATACGATCCTGTTTTATCCTGATCGTTGATTTGTATGAGCCATCCCCCCACCGGACAAATTTCTGTAAACGCCCCTGTTACTAAGAATTAAGTGTGTGCATTACCTTAACCATAATAGTAACAGAAAAAGCCTGTTGGTCTGTCGAAACAATCATTTTAATTCTTTTTATATTTTCTAATTTAACATATTTTCTAAAAAATTGAACTAAAGTAGATTTAATTTAAACTGCTGCGAATACATGAAAATATGCCAAATATTTGAATCTCTGGTTAGAGATAAATCTGAAAACTGTTAAGGATTTGACAGAATACACGATGGGTGGATTTTTGGTAGCTAATAATTTGGTAACTAACATTTTAGTAACTAACAATTTGGTAACTAATACTTTGGTAACTTGACAATTTTGTAACTAACAATTTGGTAACCCAACAATTTGGTAACTAACAAATTGGTAACTTTACAATTTAGTAACCTGACAATTTGGTAACTAACAATTTGGTAACTTGACAATTTGGTAAGTTAACAAATTGGTAACTAATAATTTGGTAACCTAACAATTTGGTAACTAAAAATTTGGTAACCAACAATTTGGTATGGTTAGGTTAAGACAATTTCTGGGCCGAGAGCTGCGGCTAGGACAGGCTAGGGGGCCGAGCGCTGCAGCCTTATTTATAAAAAAATAATACAATTATATCCGGTATGTGGGGTTAGGTTAGGTTAAGACAAATTCTGAGCCAAGCGCTGCGGCAAGGACAGGATAAGGGGCGAGCATTGCAGCCTTATTTATCAATAATAATACAATGATATCCGATATGTGGGGTTAGGTTGGGTTAAGACAATTTTAAAATTATGAAATGTTTTATGTTTAAAAAAAAACCCTGACGCCTATGTCAGCTCTCACACAACATTGGTGTATAATCGCCGATTAAAAGCGGTTTAAAAAAATTACACATATGTCAACATTTGTTAGGACCACGTTAACAAAAAGGAAAGGTGTACACCTCAGACATAAAGTTAATTTACAGCCGTATATTTATTTTTCTATTTTTAGAAATCACTGAAATGTGAAACTTAAATAATTGAACTCCCATCCGTTTCTGAATCAAACAAAGAAACGGATGTTGCATGCATATTTCTTAAAACGGCGAAAGCATGAATCCTTTGTAGCTCTACCGTTCAGATCTCTAAAGAAAGACTCTTTGTCTAATGCTTGTATACGTCTCTACACTCATACTGTTCATACTAGGCCGTTATTTGAAAACAGCTGATGGAAATCTTAGATAATAATATTAAAAAGTATTATATATATTATATACTAATTCGTCGGAGCTATTTTTTTTTATCAATTTCTGATCTAATCTAACAATATTTCTGTAAAGAATCTTATTTGCTTCGTGATTATAAACTTTATCAGCTAATTCACAGTTGCGCGTAGTGGTGCGCGCGTAGAGGGGTCAAATATACGACTGAGACTTTGTGCTTACAGAGAGCGCACACAGGTATACTACTCTTCCGTGCAGGATGTATGGAAGGGGGGGGAGGGGGAGGGGGGTATTGTTAACTTAACCCCGTAAATTCAATTGTAAGTTTTCATGAAGAGAGGAGATATAAGATATACTCGACTTTGCCGCGTAGAACATCCAGAGAGGAAAGAGAAAGAAAAGAAATGTATGAAAGAAAAGAAAGAAAATGAAAATGAAAAGAAATTTGTAAAGAAGAAATGAAAAAGAAAGGGGAGAAATTCAAGAAAATAAAAAGAGAATCGGGAGAAATGTAAGAAAGAAAAAGAAAGCAAGGTCATAGAAGGAATGAGAAAGAGAAGAAATGTAATAGAGTTAAAAGAAAGAGAAAAAATGTATAAAAGAAGAGAGAAATGGGAAAATGTATGAAAGGAAATGTAGAGAAGGAAAGAGAAAGAAAGGAAATGTATAAAAGGAAAGAGAAAGAAAGGAAATGTATAAAAGAAAAGAAAAAGAAAGGAAATGTATAAAAGGAAAGAGAAAGAAAGGAAATTTATAAAAGGAAAGAGAAATAGATTAAGAATTGATTAAGTCTACCTAATTCCATTTATATGATTTATATATATTTAATCTACCTTTAAATTCAAACATACAGAACTGGAACCATTAAGTTTCTATTTATAGAGCTTGTTATGAATATAATAAGTTCCACAAGTGTCGTAAGTTTATAGAGCTTGTTATGAATATAATAAGTTCCACAAGTGTCTAGTAAGTTTATAGAGCTTGTTATGAATATAATAAGTTCCACAAGTGTCTAGTAAGTTTATAGAGCTTGTTATGAATATAATAAGTTCCACAAGTGTCAAATAAGTTTTACTAATATTTTCATATTCAGATTATATTCATAAAAAAACTTTTTCAAAATTTTGGGTAACGTAGTTGAAGTTAACATCACGAACAAACTTAACTATTGTTTATAAAATAATATAAAATATATTTCATCATTTTTATGTTGATAATACTTTAGAGAAAAGTGAAGTTTACTTAAACAGGCTGTCGAGTGTCGAGTGTTGAGTGTTGAGTGTGGAGTGTTGAGTGAGGAGTGTTGAGTGAGGAGTGTGGAGTGTTGAGTGTTGAGTGTGGACTGTCGAGTGTCGAGTGTCAAGTGGTAAAATAAATTGATATTCTCTCCTATTTTTAATGAATAAATCAGCAAGTCACTTTTACGGAGAACCCAAGAGAACCAACAATTGCAAATGGCAATGTCCGATTCCGAACTGCAACCCTTGAAACCTTTATCAGATAAATAATGTGGAAGATATTGTCGTTTTTCCAGGTTTAAAAGTGCCGATTTCTGATAATTCCTATATGTTTTCCTACAGTAGTAAATCCACAATTGAAAATAATCAGTAATCTTGGAATGAAGGGTCACTTGAAACTACGCTTACAGTAAACAGTCCCTTTAAAGGGTTTAAGAGTACTAGCGTCCAAATTACATCAGCTGTCCCTTTAGGAAAGGGCTTAAATACGATATTAATTTTTGTGAACTTGTCTGAAAATTTCAGGAAAACCAGTTTTTTGCTGGGAGATTATGTTTTTCCATTATACAGTAAGTGCAACACTATACAGGGTGTCCCAATAAAACATGGGAATTCAGTGACGAAATCAGTATCGTCTTTTTAAATAATTCTTTGATTTAGTATAGTGATACCCACTGAGAAAGCTGTAATCTGTAAGAGTTTCCTCTGTTATGTTCACATTTTGTTTGTTTATGTTTTGACTGCATACGGTTGTACTTAGTAATACAAGAAAATTGCAGTATACAAACAGTGTAAACTTGTCCGTCTTCACTGTTCATCTTGCGGAAACATTATAAACACATCTTTACAGTCTTTTACTCTTTTCATAAAACAAACTATAGAAGACATAATAATATTAAGGCTTTTGAAATTAGGTATTACAATGCTAATTCATAACAAAGACGATATCGAATTCGTCACTGAATTCCCATGTTTTATGAGACACCCTTTATATTAATATACGTTTTTAATCATGGTTAAAAACTTGTAATACAACTATATAATAGGAAGACGACTTTAATACTTAGGTTATAATTTTAAATAGTGAAATGAACATAAACAATACAATTGTGCAGTGTTAACAGACCCTTGTTTCTTAATAAGTAAGATACTGGTTTAAACCATTTACTATATTACATACACATAAGATTGATAGAATGTCGTTTTTCTATTCCACGGTTTTATGGGTCACAATGTATCTAATATTTTTGTAGTTTAGAGAAAATCTAAAAAGTTTTGAGTTTAAATCAAAATGCATCGCCAGTAAAGATTTTATTGAGAACTAGAATTGAAAACCATATTTATGGAGAATTTACCGAACCTTCACTTCAGGATATTTGCTTTTATAGTAAATAGAAAAAAAACAGGAAAGGGTATTTTATAAAAGATTCCAATCAAATCAAATCATTTATTTTTCTGCAGGAATAGTTATAACAGATATCAACAAAACATAAGTACAATAAATGAATATAAAACTACTGCATCATGGAGAGCTTAATTGCTAAAAGCTGTTTTCAAAAACCCCATTGGTATAATTTTTGAAATATTTATATACTTTTTTAAAAGAAGGTTAGGAATAGGATAGTAAACTGAAGTGGTAGACAGACACACAATTTAAGTAATTTTCATTAAAAAATCACAGAAATTTAAACAAGCATTTTTAATTTCCTTTGGTTCTATTAAAACAACAACATTATCCTATAAACCATGGTAAATATTTCCATTTACTGTTATAGCGCCAATTGAAGGAGTCATAACTCTAACTGGATAATGAGATAGATAGAAAGATAAATGTTACTGTCAAACTATTTCTATTGGTTCAGAATAGACAACAAACACATGACTGAACCCTGATTGGACCAGGCGCTAAAGGACTCCGCAAACAGGAGTGTATAGTTATACTTGAAAAGTGAACATAACAAGTAGTCAACTCTAAATTTTATTATTTGTCAATTTTTCGGTTTTTTAAACCGTATGTAGATCAAGAGCATGTTCAAAACTAATGGAAAGGAGGAAAACGGAAATCTCTTTAAAAATCAAAATAATTAGCGTGGAATCAGATAATTATTTATCTTTATTATTACTTTTAAACCGCATGTAGATCAAGAGCATGTTCAAAGCTAATGGAAAGGAGGAAAACGGAAATCTCTTTAAAAATCAAAATAATTAGCGTGGAATCAGATAATTATTTATCTTTATATTATTTGTATTCGTTATCAAACATTAAAACATTAAAATTTAAATCTTATTTTAATTCAATAATTAACCCTATATTTATCCACAAAGAATTAGACTTGAAAGACATGCAGCCTTCAAATCACTAAATTTTTAAAGTTTTTGATCGACATTATCCTCTCATTTGTTACAAGAATTATATTTCAAGCAGCTGTAGACGAAAAATAAATATAAATAATAATATTGAAAAAATTGTAAAATTGTAAAGTGTGTGATTAAATTTTTAAAACAATTATTATTTGTATTTGAGCCCGTGTAAAAAAATTTAAAGAAATTTTTTTTTTCAAATTCGGAAATCAAAAATTCGATTTTTTTAGTCTATGTTACCCCCAGGCTACCCGGATGAGTGTAAAAATTTTTTTTTAGCATATTCGGTCCAGCCGTTTAGCCGACTATAGGGAACATATGTATATACGAATGTCTTGTTTTAATATATAAACTAGTAAAATGCGCCCGTGAAAAAAAATTGAAAAATCAAAATTTCGTTCTTTTTAGCCTATGTCACCCCAAGATACTTAAATTTCAGCCCATTCGGTCCAGCCGTTTGGCCGGCCAGAGGGAACATATATACGAAGGTCTTGTTTTATTATATAGATTATTTACTAATTATTATTTATTATATATTTATTATTTATTATTTATTATTCATTATTTATCTTTTATTATTTATTATTTATTTTCTATGTTTTCTAATTTTAGGAGAATGTTTTCCTGTTTAAATATTCTCTCCTTCTTATTAATTCCCACAAATGTCTATGAAAACTGTGAGATTAATAGGCTTTAAAGTACGGCTGTCAAATGAAGGTTGCTCTGCTGGTAAATCAAGGATTCCGTGGATATATCTAGAGGAATTTGAGAAAATCCGTTTTATTCCGAGACAAGTTAACTTAAGTTTGATTAAAGGGACTGTGAACGTAATTTCAAGTGATCCTCCATACAAAGACAATGCCCGATTTACAACAGTACCCTTGAAAGCTTTGTCTGATCAGGAATGAATTAGATATTAGTGTTTTTGTTCCTCTAAACTGATTATTTTTATTTGCGGGTTCTATGCCAAAGGGACTTTCGCATTTCTTGTTTATGAAACAAGCAATGGAAAAACTGACAAAAAAATTAAAAAAAAATAATTCAAAGTCGTCTATAAAGTTCCATCATTTTCTTGGACATTTTTGCTGAATTCAAATGTGAAAGCCATTTTTTAAAATTTTAAAAATTTAATAAGCTATCAGGCTGAAAACAGCTTCCAAAACTGGCATATTAACTTTTTCAATGTTTTGGTATGTTTTCTTGCTTTAACTCATTCAATTTAAAAATTTGTTAATTCGCTTTTAAAATCGAATTTAGCAGAAACATTTCTAAAAAAGTCATAAATTGATAATTTCTATTCTCTTATTATTTTGATAAGTTTCAAAAATTTATTTGAACTGTTTAACTGTTAAATGTATAAAACTGTAGAATAAGACATAATTATATTTAAGATAAAATACTAGGGAATGATCTCAAATAATTGCATAATCAGCAGAATAATACAGGATAGAGTTTAATAATTTTTTAGAACTTTGCAGAAATGTTCTTGCAATCTGTTTACGAAAAAGCTGTGAGACTGCATTATAAAATGGTGAAATGTGAGTATTAATATAATCTATATTTATGTCTACGTTTCCTCAAAAATCAAACAAAGATATAAGATTAAGTTCAGATGAAGATTAAGTTTAGATTAAGATTAAGTTCTGATTTATTTAAAAAGAAATGCGCCAAATATTTTTCGCTGAAAATGTGGGGCATTGGAGAAACGCAGTTACGCGCGCATGCCGCAATGACTTATAAGACAGAGTGAGAGCCATTTCTAGCCGCAGCGCTCGGCCCCCTAGTCTGTCCTAACCGCGGTACTTGGCCCCCTAGCCTGTCATAGACGCAGCGCGCGGCTCAGAAAGTGTCTCAACCAACCCTAACCCTAAAATATATACTAATCTCTCTCTTCTTATAATTCATTGCGGCATGCGCACGTAACTGCGTTTACATGCTCTCAAAATCTGGTGTGCAGTTTGTGCATTTAATTTTAAACATGCAAAAAAAGCAAACTATCAAGAAGTTTAGTATTTAATTAATTCTATTTCTTAACTCAATCATCTTTAAGAGACATTATACAAGATTGATGAAAAAAGAAGATTAAATATATCTTTGTTTGATTTCTATTATTGAGCATATATTGAATATTATTGCCAAGTTATTCAACAACCAGTAATTATTTATCACTCGATTCGTCCCATAGTTTCTCGAGTTCGATTTATTCCACACAAAATAAAGCAAATACGTTGTGAAATCGCTTTTTAAATGCGTTTTTTTAGAAGCTGAAAAATATATTTACATTATTTTATATTCTGACTAGATTTTTACGTTTTAAAGCTCAGAAGATTCTAATAGAAAAAATAAAATTTTATTTCATTTTCTTGTATATTGCGGGTCAAACAAATGAGAATTAGAAATTTTAGAATTAGAATTTGTGGTACAACCTACTTGTTTCTATATTGATACAACGATTATTACAGTTTTGACAGTTTCAAGTCTGCATTACAACCTGCAGATCTTTTGTAACACAAATTTGCTCTTACTTTTTTTAAATTTTGCATAGATTTAATTTTAAGTACAGCCAGTAGTTTACTAATAAGTTTATGAGCATTGAGTTGGAAAACATGGTTTTGATTAAAAATTTCAACAAAAAGCACTTTTTATAAATATAAATCACTTAAAATTTCTACATTATTAATATCACTAATATTTAGAAGTAAAAAAGAAGGAAGCAAAAAGATCACTTTTTACAGTATTTCTATAAGCATTAAAGGGACTGTATAAGATTCATTTCAAGTAACCATCCATTCTCGATTTACGATGGTACTTTTTTAACCTTCACTCAAACAAGGTATTTTTTATCGTGGTTTCTAGATAAACAACGACGACATCTACTTTATTATTACAAATAGAGTCACTTGAAATTACGTCTACAGTCCCTTTCAGCCAAGATTATCAAGAAGATTAATCTGGTTTTAAATATTGTTGCTTTCATTCATGTTTCCTCAATATGCAGATTTAAGGTTTGATGCAGATTCTTAAAATGTTTATACTCTAGAACCTTTACATACTCCATGGTTCAATGCGTACTCTAGAAATTTTACATACTCCACGGTTCAGTACATACTCTAGAACTTTTACATACTCCATGGTTCAATGTATACTCTAGAGCTTTTACATGCCTCAGGGTTCAGTGCATACTCTGGAACCTTTACATGCTTCAAGGTTCAGTGTATACTCTAGAACTTATACATACTCCATGGTTCAGTGCATACTCTAGAAATTATACCTAGTCCATCGTTCAATGTATACTCTAGAGCTTTTACATGCTCCAGGGTTCAGTACATACTCTGGAACCTTTACATACTCCAAGCATGGTTCGATGAATCAAATACATAAAAAAAGACTGAATTCTATAAAAAGACTCCAGGTTTGCTACAAACTGACTCCTGATGCTTGTTGAGGTAAGATTTAAGTGCAAACATCTTGTCACATCGTTCACATTTGAAATTCTTGGCCGGAGAATGAGTTTGCATGTGTGCTCGCAGATTACTCCGATCTGCAAAGGATTTCACGCAGAGTGCACAGGAGTAGGGTTTATCCCCAGTATGAGATCTAGATGAAGGATATTTTATTATTATGATTAAACGAGAAAAGTTTTTTGCTGATGTATTGTTGAAGACAAAAAAGTAATAAATAGTTTGAGGCTTAAACCCTGGTATCAACCTACACCATTCTTTAGAGCCTGATAAAATATCTAACATTAGATATATTAAAATATCCTTCCTTCTGTGTCCTTGCAAAAGCCAGGGGCGGGAAAATGCTTTTCCACACACATCACACCGATGGTTTAAGGTATGAGTTAGAATATGCATGGAGAGGGCTGGCATGCTGACATACAACTTGTGACAAATATGACACTGCTTGGCACTGCCTGAGTCCAAGCTACGATGGGTTTGTTTATGCCTGGACAGGTTGCTACTCGTGGCATAGTCCTTTCCGCATTCCGTGCAACTATATTTCTGTTTTCCGCTCTGTACTTCACTATTCCGTCGGGTTCTTCCGTCGCTTATTGGCAGTTTTCCGTCTTCTATTTGCAGCTTTTCATCTGCTAATTGTAATGTATTGTCTGCTATCTGCAATGTGCCATCTGCTATCTGCAGTTTGTTCTCCTGTAGTGATGAATCTATTCTCTGGGTCGTATTTTGAGTATATGATGAGAAGGGAGGAGGGTTGAGGGTGGAGAAGGTTGAACTCTCTCCTTGTTTTAAACTAGGCAGGGGGAGAGGGATATAATGATCTCCTGGTGTCTCCGGGGTTATATAGATGAGTGTTGTATACCCCTGGTCCAGGTAGTGTGGAGGAGGAGTAGGAGTAGTAGGAGGGGGGAGAGGGGGGAGGGATCTTGACAGCTGAAGGAGATCATGAGCTGCTTCAGTCTCTTCTTTGCTCCGATTATGCAAACCTAAACAGAGACCGAATTTTATGAATTTGAACTACCTAACGCCGGTTCAAATTTGACTCACAGATTCATCGAATCCTTTCTAAATCTTGAAATTTGAATCGGTGGGTTCAAATTTGAACCGGGGCGTCAGTAGGTATAGTTCAGCGGCGTAACTAAAATCCATTGAATTTGATCCAAGGTAAATAAACATTTATATGCTTACACCTAAAAAGAATGCTAATATTTATTGAAAAAATAATGAAACCATAACTAATAGAATGCAATTTGGTTTATTTTAGCATTCACGGCAGTGAACAGTAATTCTTCCAGGGGCTTCACATTTTTAGCCATTTCTTAATACTTAATAGGTCTCCCTCTGTAATCTATATGTGCCCCTGATAGCATTCCTTTTTAAAATATTGGACACCCGGATATATTAATAATTTCGATTTAATCTGTTAATCCTTTAACTCATTTTAAGACATTTAATTTCGATCTAATCTGTTAATCCTTCAACTCCTTTAAAAATATTTGACACGGATGTATTAATAATTTCGATCTAATCTGTTAATCCTTTAACTCATTTAAAAATATTTGACATGAATATATTAATAATTTCGATCTAATCTGTTAATCCTTTAACTCCTTTAAAAATATTTGACATGGATATATTAATAATTTAGATCTAATCTGTTAATCCGTTAACTCATTTAAAAATATTTGACACGGATATATTAATAATTTCGATCTAATCTGTTAATCCTTTAACTCCTTTAAAAATATTTGACATGGATATATTAATAATTTCGATCTAATCTGTTAATCCTTTAAGTCCTTTAAAAATATTTCAGCACTTTTCCAAAACGCGGTATTTTTAACATCACTTTTAGCAACCTTTTAAGAACCAATTGAAAAGTTTCAACACTTTAACATTTATATCAAAAAAAACTTTATTTTTTTCCTATAAAAGAAAAGGTTTTGATTAGTTTAACATGAAATCCTAGCATTGATAATTTGATTAATGAGAAATCCAATTTGATATATTTCTCACACAATGTTTGGAGGATTTGTAAAATAGAAAAAATTAGATTTTTAAAAAGAAATAATTTCCTGGATTTTCCCGTATTTGCTTTTGCCATTTTCTAGGAACTACTTTCCCAAATAAAATAAAGATATAAAAATATTTGCTCGAACTTGTTGCAGGGANGGGGAAGGAGAGAGGAAGGAATGTATTTTTAATATTTTGAAAAGGTTTCTGAAGCAGTAACATAAAGTTCGTAATGTACTCCGGAGAAAGAATAATTTACAATTCCCAACCTGGAATCCTGGACTGTTGCTGGGCTACTTGGAGAAACTGAACCTCAACCCTTTTCTCCGGGTAGGTCTGATCATCAGAGCCGGGTGAACTAGGATTACTGAACCCGGAGTCAGGGGAGGGTGGAAGACTGAATTGCTTCAGGTCTACCCTGGAGTAGGATTCGTGGTTCTCCTGGTTCTCCTGGTCTACCCTGTAGTAGGACTCGTGGTTGGAGTTATCCTGGTTTTCCTGGTCTACCCTGAAGTAGGATTCATGGTTGGAGTTATCCTGGTTCTTCGGGTCTACCCTGGAGTAGGTTTCATGGTTATGGTTCTCTACTATACTGTTTCCACTGAAAATATTAGAAAATCTAGAGAAGGAATAATCATTATATTTATGGGAAAAGTATTGGCGCCCGAACTTTTATTACCCATTCCCCCCCCCCCCTCCGCAAATTTGGGATACTTCCCCTCCAGCTATAACTATCAGCATCATAATGTCACCTCTTTCCAATGAGTCATACTCATATGATCAAAGGCTAACTTAAATGTTTAATTTAAACAAAGTTAATAACATTTTCTAAATTTTTAGTCACAAAAATGTGTTTCTTAGTTTTTAGTGCATTGCTCATTCAAAATATTTATAAATAAAATCTAACTTTTTCATATTTTTAAATTGACAGATATTGATCAATCTTACAGAAAAACAGGTTTATTAATCACTAGCTTGGGTACCAAGATTTACCTGGAAATTGAGAGTCAACTTAAAAATTTTAAACAAAGTTAAAAATATTTCAATGGTTCTACCAAGATACCAAATAAAAAATTGATATATATGAATAGAGACAAATATTTGAAATTTTGATGATTCATAAACCTTCCCTGGGCTCCCTAGATGTCCCACAAAAAAATTGGGACCGAACGGTCCAGCCGTTTTGACGTTTATTGGATACAAACAAACAAACAGACAAACAAACAGACAGACAAACAAGCCAAATTTATATATAGATATATAAGAATTGTAACAACTGAGGATCGTCATGATAGACGTTAAACATTATGTTTAGTATAATAATTTTTTTTTTAATAAAAAATGTGAAGTTAAAAACTAAAATACATACATATATATATGTACATATATATATATATATAGAGATATACAAAGACAACGATATGATAGATATTCACCTCTCTTTATAAACCTTCTTGGTTGGGTTAACTTCAGATTCCTTGCTTTTCCAATTCACACCGCTCACTGACAAACCTAAAGGTATGAAGTATAAGGGCAAAGGCCTAAAAAAGGGAGTTTTGGACACGTTTCTTATTACATTACAGCAATGAGAAAAATTAGATAGAAGCAAAATTCGCATGTTTGTATTCAATTCTGATTCAAAATGTTTTATTTCAACATGCACCTGTTTCATTTTTCATGAACATTTCTCTTAAATTATAAGCATATAGGCTAGATGTTTAAAAGCATAAAATAATAAAATTCCAGTATTGAAAACCTAATTAAAGGGACAGTAAAGGAAAAATGAAAGGGGGTATAGGCTGAAAGCTAATCACTTTAGCTCTTGATCGAGACCCATGAAAGTTTTATCTGATGTTACTATCTAGAGAAATTGATATAAAACTGTGTTAAAATCATACGAAAGTTCATATATGTAAACTTTAGAAAATCTTAAACTTAAATCACGTGACCAGAACTATCACCAATTGCAGAGCAGTATACTGATCACGTGTCTCTACCTGTATCACGTGACCACTTTACTGCACTGTCATTGGTGGATTTTCTGGTCAAGCAATTCGGACGTGTAAATAATATTTTAAATTAAATCTATTAAAAATAGAAATAACAAATATAAAATTAGAATTGGAGTAAACCTAAGTAATAATTAGCTTTCTCGGGGATATTATCGTTTTCAGGTTGGTTGCTTATTTGCTGAATTTGATCTATTTAAACCCACTACTTTTATACAAAATTGTATATATATTAATTTTCGTATAAATTTTACACAGTTGTAAATCAACTTCTCGAGATAGGAACATCAGATAAAACTTTCATGGATCGAGAGCTAAAGTGAATAGCTTTCAGTCTATACCCCCTTTCATTTTTCCTTTACTGTCCCTTTAACAATAATGGTGAAATGGATTTTATCTAATCAATTTAATAAGTGGGTAAGATAATCAGAATAATTTATAATTGAGTTCTGAAAACTGAAGCTGAAAACTTTAGAATAGAATATCCTTCATCCCGATTGGTAAATTAATCTGGAGATTAATAACAAGAGGAGAACAAGCATTATTTAATCTGTAGATTAAGAAAAAAAGAGGAGATCAAGCATTAGTCTCAATATCCACCATTCTAAAGTTTTTAGCTCTGATAAGAACCCCTTTTTAAACCCCGTGGTCGGCGATTATATCAATATAATGAAGATGACTTTTCATTAATATTGATTTGATCCCTAACAAGAACTTTTCAAATTACAAGTTACAAGTAAACAAAGCTAAGCTGTTAATTGACAACTTTTTTTGTTTAAATGTTAATGCGTCTTCTGCTTGAAAGATTGGTAGAGTTCAAAATTGAAAAATAAATTCGTCTCCATTGTATTGATACTTACGCCGACAACTGAATACAATTCACGGTACAGAAAAGCTTTACATTGACGCTATATAATCGTTAGAAAGAAATTGAGTTTATGACACACACTCAATTTACCTAATGCATATATAAAAGCAAATTGATGGCGTAAACCTTTTGATATTTCAAACTTAGAATATATTGATCTAATCTATAGTTCGAAATTTTTAAGTTCTTCTAGATCAAGTTGCCAAGAATGGGGATTGAAAATTTAACTTTGTAGCAAAAACTTTTTGTTGCGGGAATCGAGCACGTTAATGAACAATTAAAAGCGGGGTTTGTAATCATTAAATATGCCTATATCCCGGTCCCACTGGACCCGGCTACACAATAAATAGGGGGGGGGGGGATATCTGCATATTTTATTCATAGTGCCAGAGGTTTAGGGTTCAGGATAATAACCTTTCTCTGGGTAGTCAGATCTATAGGGTTTCCGGAGTTTGATGGATTCCTTCTCCTCCAGGGTTACTGAGTAAACTCTCGTCAACTGAGCAGCCTGGATAGAACCAAGCTTGGATTGGTTACAGCTCAGGGTACCTTCAGAACCTGGGGATTCAGAAATTATGTGTTTGCATAATAGACCAAGATTAAATTGTATATTTTGTCCTTGATATGAAACATTTTTGTAAATTCTCAAACAAACGGCATTGCACGGTGGACTAGGGTTAATTTAAATTCGAACCGGACCGGCCCCTTGCACCAGTCTTTACTTACTGAAGCACAATAAGTACCAAACAGACCCTATCCTATGTTGGCCTCGTTTTAATTTTTGGGGGGGGCTCAGCACCCGTGGGGGCTGAAAACCCCATGAAATCCATAGATTTCACTGGTCCAGGGGGGGGCTTAGCCCCCTTAGCCCCCCCTGACTACTCAGAAATTTTTTGTCTTTAAATATAAACAAATGTCATAATTTAGAGATCTTAAATCCTATTTAATCCTAAACTGCTTTGACCCAATAATCTCACTATTGAAGAAGTTGTATCATTTGGTTTACCATGGCCAGTTTTGCCTGGCCCTTATATAGGCTTGCGCTAGCTGCTCAGACCGGTACTTTAAGAAAACGGAGTTTACAGTGCAGAGTCAAGCAAACGTCTGGAACATTTTACACAAGATTATTTAAGTTAAATGGATTGTAAGTAAACCCCCATACAAAGATTGCAATTCCTGATTTACAACGGAACCCTGTATAAAAGCTTTGTCTGATCAAGTATGAATTATAAATTACTGTTTATAACTTTGAAAACTAATTATTTTCAATTGTGGGGTCTCTACAAATGTGTCTTGTGTATTTTTACTACAGGTACACATGCATGAGCTGTAGTTTTACATTGGGCATTGCCTTTGTAGCATGGAGGGTCACTTGAAATTACGCTTACAGTAAATGTTAAAGTTTAAAATCTATCTGGTCAGCATGCAGCAGCAGTCAGAGTAAATGTTAAAGTTTAAAATCTATCTGGTCATCATGCAGAAGCAGTCAGAGTAAATGTTAAATTTTAAATCTATCTGGTCAGCATGCAGCAGCAGTCAGAGTAAATGTTAAAGTTTAAAATCTATCTGGTCAGCATTCAGCAGCAGTCAGAGTAAATGTTAAAGTTTAAATTCCATCTGGTCAGCATGCAGCAGCAGTCAGATTAAATGTTAAAGTTTAAAATCTATCTGGTCAGCATGCAACAGCAGTCAGAGTAAATGTTAAAGTTTAAAATCTATCTGGTCAGCATGCAGCAGCAGTCAGAGTAAATTTTCAATCTTTGACAATCAAATAAATTCCCACTATGGAGGGGAGGGGGAAGAGTATTTGTACCCCCCCCCTCCCTCTCCAATTTTTCATCACAGCGCTTTTATTTTTGGATGAATGTAAAGTCCAAATACTACTATAAGTGATATACAATATAAAATATTCAACCGTTCAATGAAAGTTTCAAAAAAATAATAAACTTGTCAATTTATTTCATCTCAGTTTGCGTTTGGAAAATGTGTTTTCATTCATTTTTTCCCTCAAGTTTTCAATTCACACTCAAGTGTAAAAAATCAAACTTATGGACATGATAATATTGTTAATAATATTTGATAGAAAATAGTAGAAATAAGCATATACTGATAAACAAGAAGATAATTACAACAGAAAATTGTATTAATATCTTCTAAAATCGGATTTTTACGATTTAGAAAATAATATTTTTGCACATTGTTGTCTGGACAAACCGAGATGCCAATTTATAAAGAATTTGCAAAATTATTGCACACAAATCAGAAAAGGAAAATTATTGCAAAACCCAGGAAAACGATTTTCTTGTTTTACTTTAATCTAGAAAAGATGGAAAAGATTTCTTTATTTCTATTAGAAGCTTTTCACGGAGGTTACACAAACTATTCTTTAGACTTAGGAAAGAATTGAAACCTTAAAGGGAGTGTTAGCGAAAGTTTTTGAGAACTCAATGTTTTATTTTTTATTTCTATTCAATGTTTCTGTGCAGAGCCTTTGTTTCCAGATGTGCGAACAGAAATATTAGATAAAATTAGAATTAATCATTTCTCGCGAAGACCGCATTTAAAGAGAATCCGAACCAAACAAAGTCATAAAACCATCAATAACTCTGAGAACAAAATGAATTATAAACTTAATGATATAAAATTGAATTTAATTTATGTTCGCGAAAAAAATTTCGCCACATTTGTATATGGTTGATTTTTCATAATATGTTTTAATTGGTATGATCTGAGAGTTACTTATGAAAACATTTATTCCTGTTTCGAGGATTTTTGGTAATGAAGACGACATTTTCATATTTTCCAGGAATGTTTGAAAACAAGTTGGAAGCTAAATGTTATTTTAAAAAATAAAATCAAAACATATTATGAAAAATCAACTATATACAAATGTGGCGAAAGATAATCGATGACTATAGGTTGTACTATCTGAATGATTGTTTGAAATTAAATAGATTTTTTACGGTCTAAGTCGTATGTTGCAACTTTCTGAATTTGTATGGATACTACGTTCTTCGGTATTAGTCGTTTTTAACAATTTTCTCCTTATAGACGCAACAGATAGAAGTAAGGTTAGAAGCGATCAAAAGCGCTTTTTTATCGCAATAAGCCTATACCCCCTTTCATTTTTCGCAAACACCCCCTTTAAATCAATCAATTTCGATTTTGATTGATGCACATTTGAAGGAGCCGTTTTATTAAAGAGTGCAATAAAAAATACTCAATTTATCCCTTTCAATTAATCAACCTTGAACCAATGCGTTTTTGATCTTCTTTCTGTAAAAATATGTTTTGATAAACAACAAACAAATTTACCACATTTATTTCGTTGATAAATATTTGAAGATTTGTGACTAATTTCCCTTGAAATCTAGTAAAATGCCTCTTTAAACAAAATTAAGACAAGATTTCAACCAGATACTAAAAGCCTTCAGAGCTGAAAACTTTAAAATGGGATATCCTTAATCCCAATCGGTTAATTAATCTTTAGATTAATAACAAGAGGTGAACAATCATTATTTAATCTGTAGATTGAGAAAAAGAGGAGATCAATCATTGATCTCGATATCCACCATTCTAAAGTTTTCAGCTCAGATAAACTAAACTCTTTTAAAATCTATTTTAACATTTTATTCAAAAGTTTCCAACATCACTTAAAGCCAACAACATTAAAGTACAAAAAAATCATACTTAAAATAAAAAAAAATTTTGGAGACTTTTTTCTAGAGTTAAATTTTGTGAAATAGTGCAATTAAAATTTGAGGCAAATCGTTAAGAGTAAAGACCGGACATTCAAACAACCATACAAATAGAGATTACTACTTAATATTTATACAGAATATAGATGCTTACCATCCGAGATGGACCATTCCCGTTTATCCGCCCTGGCCCGATTTTTCTTAGGCAAAAAGCAGCGAGGCATTGTCACACAGGCAGTTTTGATTTACTTTAACTCAATTACCCTCAGCCCATGGTTGAAATACTCCAGGTGCAGCTTCAGACTGGAAAATGCCCTTTTCTCTGCATTAGTTTTTTCTATCTCGGAGAAATTCGTCCTTGGTCAAAGTTCTGAGATTTTCTTTTGCTCAATCCTGGTTCTATTTGAGGTAAATAGTCTCATTTCACTGATGGTTCTGTCATTTACTGGATTGGTTTGAGGAGAGTAGAATTGTACAATCAAGAGAATCCTTCTCCCTTGAGGTTGAGCCTGTACTAAATATACAGCCTGGAGCTTCACAAAACTTTTATTTCTTTTTTTTTAATATTTCTTTCTCACTCTTTAACCATATATTCCAGCTTCTTAGTTGAGATTTGAAGACGGTAATTGATGTGTTTGCATAAAGGATTAAAAATCTCCGAGTTTTGAAGATTCTTTTAACTTTAATTTCTAGAAGTTAGAACCTCTCTTTAACTAATATTATCATATTCTATTTCAGAGTTTAACAAGTCCTTACATTATGATTAAATGAATCACTAAAACAATAGAGAACTTTATAATTCAAGAACTGAAGAACTAGGGAACTAGAGAACTAGGGAATAAGAGAACTAGGAAACTGGAGAACTGGAGAACTAGGAAACTAGAGAACTGGAAAACTGTAGAACAAGAAAACAGGAGAACTATAGTAAACTGGATAATTGTAGAACTAGGGAACTAGAGAACTAGAGAACTAGGAAATGTGAGAACTCGAAAGATGAGAATTTAAACTTGACATTTTAATGTTTTAACTTTAACTATTCCCTTTTTGGGTCTCAAACATGCATAATTCAAAATTCTAGAGATTAAGATTCTACAAAATGTTAACGTAGCTAAGTATTTTATTATTGCTTTGGTGAATAATTTCTGAGCTTGACATTTCTATTTGTCAGACAACCTTTCACTGGTTTATTTGGATGTTTAAATATGATTGATCATTCTACTCTTAGTACCACTGAGCAGAGCTGGTAGAGAAATATGAGTTCAGGATACCATGCTCCATGTACAAGATAAACCACCTGTTATAACTTTGTCCTGGATACAGCAACAATTGTCCAGACCCGATATTATATCACTTCAGAACAGTTTCAAAACCAATTTGAACATAAACAGGCGCAGCACGATGCAGTTAGTCACTCTTCACAGTCTTGTAAACAGCAGTACGGTACACGGAAAAATCAAAACATCCACAACATCGATGGCAAAAGGGAGAATAGAGGGAGGCGAAACAAAGAACATTGAAAAGTAAAGGTGAAAGGCTGGGGAGGCCACAAAACTGAGGATAAAGAATACCGCATTGGAGCCAGGAGGACGGTAGGAAGCCTCCGGGCGGGAACCATCCTGCCCCGGCTCATGCCGACCCGGCCCAACCCGTCTCATGCCGGCCCGGCCCAACAACCGGTCTTTTCTCGGCCCGAGCTCAAAACCAGCAATGTTTGTAGTTTTACAAATACAAAAATTTGGATAATTTTCTTTGAAAGTTTTCCGAAGAAAGCAAAATTCCAAAGTATCAAAATTCCTCTCTTTCCAAAAATTAAACTTTTTAAAAAGTTTTCGAGAAAATAGCAGATTTTTCGCTTCTCCTCAAATATTCAAATATTACTTATTATAAGCTAAAAAACCAAAAATTTGTCTTTAACATACAAAATTCTTTTAAGAATTGTAATTTGTAATTGGTTTGACTTTAAGTTAGCTAAAATAGTCAAAAATTTCGATTGTTTAACAGGATTCATTTTCATCAAATGTAAGTTTCGCCATAATTGGAAAAAGTAATTGGCAGATGGTGGATTGTTTTCATTTAGAAATCTATCAGCAATTATAACAAGCAAACATCAGCAATCAGCATAGCTTAAAAAAAACTATTTAAAGGAATTGAGTCTTCGCTTCAAACTCTGATTTTCTAATCTCGATATCTGCGCAACCCATGTCACAGTTCTTAGATATTTGAAACTAATTATTCTGTTAGATAAATAATCTAAGTTTGAAATATAAAAAATCTACACCATCAGGTTTCAAAGATATAGGTATTATAAAATTAAGGTTTGGGGCAATAACTCCGTTTTTTCAAACATAAAGAATATTTCTCATTGCTATGATTCGTTATAAAAGGTCAGAAATGTTTAAGACTCTAAAAGCTCTCGCAAAAAAGTCTAATATTCTAAATTTTCCATCTAGTTTCTCAAAGCCCTCCCCCTCCCCCTTGTTTGAAAAATTATCTGGTTAATAAATACATAGTTACACGTTTACAACATTCTCCAATACACACTGTTTGACTGATAATAAAAGTAGATTATTCGCTTTTAAAAATTATTAATCAAAACCAATTGAAGGCAAGAAGAGGAAGTTAAACTAGAGAAATAGTTTAAATATCTATACATATCTTTTGTTAAAATATATAATTTTTTTCAATGTTTAATCTTTTTGTTGAGCATACAAAATTAATTTTTGTTAATATTTCTCTTTTGACCATCCCTCCGTCTCGCTTTTTATTTCTACTGTTTTTTATCAATTCTCTTGGTTTTTCTTATTTTCTTATTTCTTCTACTTTTTTATCAGTTCTTCTTTGCTTGTTTGTTCTTATTTTATCATGTCTTTTACTTTTTATCAATTCTTCTTTGCTTGTTTGTTCTTACTTTATCATGTCTTCTACTTTTTTATTAATTCTTCGTTGCTTGTTTGTTCTTATTTTATCATGTCTTCTACTTTTTATTAATTCTTCGTTGCTTGTTTGTTCTTATTTTATCATGTCTTCTACTTTTTATTAATTCTTCGTTGCTTGTTTGTTCTTATTTTATCATTTCTTCTACTTTCTTATCAATTCTTCTTTGCTTGTTTGCTCTTATTTTATCATGTCTTCTACTTTTTTATTAATTCTTCGTTGCTTGTTTGCTCTTATTTATCATTTCTTCTACTTTCTTATCCATTCTTCTTTGCTTGTTTGCTCTTATTTTATCATGTCTTCTACTTTTTTATCAATTCTTCTTTGCTTGTTTGTTCTTATTTTATCATGTCTTCAACTTTTTTATCAATTCTTCTTTGCTTTTTTGTTCTAATTTTATCATTTCTTCTACTTTCTTATCAATTCTTCTTTGCTTGTTTGCTCTTATTTTATCATGTCTTCTACTTTTTATCAATTCTTCTTTGCTTGAAGTTCTTATTTTATCATGTCTGCTACTTTTTTATCAATTCTTCTTTGCTTGTTTGTTCTTATTTTATCATTTCTTCTCTCTTTTTTCTTCTAACATTCCTTATTACTCTTTCAAAACAATTACTTTTTTCTTTTTTTATTTAGAATTCTCCTACTTCTTTTTTTCTTCTTACAACATATAATACATTTTTAGCTCTTTTTTATTTTATTTCTACAGCTATTAGAGTTTTATTCATTTCATGTTCTGCTTTAAGCATTTCCACAAGATACTCAGTTTTCATTTTTCATCTTTTTATGATATTTTACTCTTTTCATCTACTCTCATAATATAATTTTTCATTTTCTAGTTTATATCATTTTCCCTTCTTTCTGTTCTTCTCTCAAAGGTATCACATCCCTCTCCGTCTTGTCTCCAGGGTGTTTATAATCCGTCCTAACAAGCTCTGGGATCAACTTTACATACAGAACCTGTAGATATATTATTCAGGAGAAACCAGGTTCAAGGTACTCAATATAGATACACTGCAGTATTCTCCGGTCTAAACTTTATACAGAGGAGGAGATTAATACATTATATCCCTGTAACCAACCTCGTTATGCAAATCCATGGTTCTCTCTCTCCGGGTCCCTAGTTCTCTGCTCCAGGGTAGATCCAGCTCCGGGGGAATCCAATATCAGAGAATAGACAAATATCTGCACTAACACAAACATACTTCAACCAGAGGAATACAGGGGGAATAATTAAACATACTTCAACTAGAGGAATACAGGGGAATAATTAAACATACTTTAACCAGAAAATACAGGGGAATAATTAAACATACTTCAACCAGAGGAATACAGGGGGAATAATTAAACATACTTCAACTAGAGGAATACAGAGGGAATAATTAAACATACTTCAACTAGAGGAATACAGGGGAATAATTAAACATACTTTAACCAGACGAATACAGGGGAATAATTAAACATACTTCTACCAGAGGAATACAGGGGGAATAATAAAACATACTTAAACCAGAGGAATACAGGGGGAATAATTAAACATACTTAAACTAGAGGAATACAGGGGAAATAATTAAACATACTTAAACTAGAGGAATACAGGGGGGATAATTAAACATACTTCAACCAGAGGAATAGAGGGGTAATAATTAAACATACTTGAACCAGAGGATTACAGAGGGAAATAATTAAACATACTTCAGCGAGAGGAATACAGGGGGAATAATTAAATATACTTCAACCAGAGGAATAAAGGGAGAATAATAAAGCATACTTTAACTAGAGGATTACAGAGGGAATGATTAGACATACTTCAGCTAGAGGAATACAGGGGAAATAATTAAACATACTTCAACTAGAAGAATACAGAGGAATAATTAAACATACTTCAACTAGAGGAATACAGAGGGAATAATTAAACATACTTCAGCTAGAGGAATAAAGAGGAAATAATTAAACATACTTCAACCAGAGGAATACAGGGGGAATAATTAAACATACTTCAACCAAGGGAATACAGAGGTAATAATTAAACATACTTGAACCAGAGGAATACAGGGGGAATAATTAAACATACTTTAACTAGAGGAATACAGGGGGAATAATTAAACATACTTCAACCAGAAGAATACAGAGGAATAATTAAACATACTTCAACTAGAGGAATACAGAGGGAATAATTAAACAAACTTCAGCTAGAGGAAAACAGGGGGAATAATTAAACATACTTCAACTAGAGGAATACAGGGGGAATAATTAAACATACTTCAACTAGAGGAATACAGTGGGAAGGATCAAACATACTTTAAGCAGGGTATTCATTTCAGGGGGAATGATTTTACATAATTAATGTTTCAAGTAGAAATACATTTATAAATCATAGTTTGTTTATTAGACATGCTACTCTATCATTCAAAGGAAAGCCACTTGAAAATAAGATTATATTATTTTTTTAGTTTTGTGAATCTGCCTCTTTTCCGTGAATATATTGGGAAGAGTTGGATCCTATTGAATGGTATGCAGGCAAGTTCATCTCAGGTTTTGTAAATAAATCTCAGATAAATTAATAACTTCAAATTATATTTTTTTAAAATTAGAGATAAATCGGAGTTTTATGCACGTGGATTTTAAATAAAAACTGATGCGTTTTTGAGTGTATTTGCTACAGAGTGGAGTTTCTATGTGACCTCAGTTACCCTTGAAAATATGAAGAAAATCTAATGAACCATCTTTATTATTTTCCGCCATTTTGTTTTTTCAAAGTAAAATATTTACGATGATTTGGTTTGGAAAACCTGGCCAATAAAATTGATTATAGTTTTTAGATTTATCGTTTAACCATAGTTGGGCAGGAAGTCGGGGAAATAACATTTTCCGAGATGGAAGCAGGTGGGGGAAGGGGGGGGGGTAATTCTTTTTGATAAACATCAATTTGATGTAATGTAAAAAGTAAAAACCTTTCTCATTGTTTTTCTTTCGCCAAGAGCCTAATATAATATTCTCTTGGAGATAGGCAGACAGCTAGACAGATAGATAGACAAATAGATAGATAGATAGATAGATAGATAGATAAATAGATAGATAGATAGATAGATAGATAGATAGATAGATAGATAGATAGATAGATAGATAGATAGATAGATAAATAGATAGATAGATATATAGATAGATAGATAGATAGATAGATCGATAGATAGATAGATAGATAGATAGATAGATAGATAGATAGATAGATAGATAGATAGATAGATAGATAGATAGATAGATAGATAGATAGATAGATAGATAGATAGATAGATAGATAGATAGATAGATAGATAGATAGATAGATAGATAGATAGATAGATAGATAGATAGATAGATAGATAGATAGATAGATAGATAGATAGATAGATAGATAGATAGATNGAGTTAACGTATTTCTAAGGGGTGGTTTAATGTTTTTACAATCTGACGATATAAACTTTTTTAATTTCAAACTTAGATTATTTGATCTAACAGAATTCATAGTCTAAAATATCAAAGGACTACGACATTAGGTAGCAAAGATAATGAGATTAGAAAAGTAGAGTTTGTGACAAACAATCAGTTCCTTTCTTTAAAGTGATATGATTAAGTAAAGAGAAGAATATTTTTTAAGTATTTATCTCCTACTTCTTTATAATAAAACAATTTACAAACATAGAACTCAATCTTCTTTCAATATCATTTAATGGAGAGCAAACAGGGAATGGGGGAGGAGGGGGAGGGCTATATGGGGGGGGGGCTATAATAAATTCTTCTTGTTATGCATATACATACAGAAAGTACATACAACTATATATAAAGAAAATGCCAAATTATTCCTAGTCCAAACAACCATTAATTCTATCTATCTATCTA